GCCCCGGGCGCAGGCCTGCCGCCTCCCACCAGGGCTCCAGGCCACTGGGGTCCCCGCCACCCTGAGGTCTGGGTCCCTCGCCCTGTCCCACCAGGCTAGGCCTTGGCCGCCTCTCGGCTTCCAGCGGGACTGGGACTGCCCGGGCCGCCCCCTTTCCCCGGCCCCCCCGGCGGCCCGCCCCCCGAGCCGGGCGGGAGAGGAGAGCGTGGGGCGGGGGAGTCGGCTTCCCGGGGGTCGCGGAGAGGCCGAGCCCGCCACCCCTTCCCCCCTACCGGGAGGGCGCTGCCCCAGAGAACCGCTCTCTTCCGTCTGTCCGGGTGTCCCAGTGGGAACCGCTCCTTCTTCCTCCGCTGCCTCAGGCCGGTTCGGAACACCCCCCCCGCCCCCCCGCCCCCCCCGCCCGAGGCGCCGGGCGGTGGGGCGCGGGCGGAGGAGAGAGCAGGGAACTCGCGCCCCGGACCCGCCTGCTCCCTCCTGCCCCCACAGAGAAGGCGGGGCTCTGGAGGCCACACCTGAAAGGACCCCCGGGAGTGCCCAGGACCGGAGCGGGAAGCCTGGGCAGGGAGGGCACCCTGGGGCATCTGGTTGGCAGCCCCCCACCCCAGGTGTGCTGGTCAGGCCCTGGCCCTCGGTGCCAAGGAGTGGGTCTCCCGGGCCAGCTGTGGCTACCTGGTCACCTGAGAGCACCCTGGTCTGCTGAGGCAAGGGGCACCAGGATGAGGACGATGCGCACGCATCTGCATTAAGGCCAAGCTGGTGGTCCGCAAAAGGCCAGGTCGGAGACCGAATACCGGGGTGTGGGGTTTGACGAAAGGCTGGGCAGAAAGGAGGGCAGAGACCAGGCCAGTATGGTGGTGGTGGGCAGTGGTCTCAGGCCCGGACAGGGCCCTCTGCTGATGCCGCCATGCCCAGGACCCTCGCGGGACACACGGGCCACTCTGCAGTGTGTCTGGGGCTGGGGGCACCTGTCCACGGGGGCCCCAGGCACCTCCCAGCCCCAGCCTTACCCACCACCTTCCTCGTGGCACCTGCTGAGTGAGGCTGACAGCAGACGGGTGGGAGCTGCAGGGGGGCCCCAGGGCAAGCCCTCTGCACACACCCTGTCCTGCACTCGCTGCCCGTGCACCTGCCCCTGTTGACCAGTGCTGTGGACTGCACTTTAACGCTTGTGGCCCCCAGAGGCTGTGCTGCTGTCAGGGTGACTGGCTGACGCCGTTGCCCACCCCTGCAGGTGCAGGGCCCCATATAGGCCAGTTATGGGTGAAAGCGACTGAAAGTCACTTGGCAGCCAGGCCCAGGACCTCAAAGACACGGGGTTGGGGAGGGTCCGGGGGGTGACCTCCTGATGCATCAAACACACGTGTGAAGGCAAGATTCTGAAGCCAGGAGTCTGAGGCCAAGGGCGCACGGTGCTCTGAGTGGTTCCGTGTGGAGATGCCAGAACCCTGAGGCGTGAGGGCCATGTGAGCTGACGCAGCCTAGCAGGCCCACGTTCATCGTCTCCCTGGCCACGCTCCGAAGGCTCGGTGGCCACCTGTGAATGTGGCTGTGGTGCTGGACAGAACAGCTCTAGAGCATTCTTATCCTAGAGAGTTCTGTTGGGTGTTACTGCCACAGGCATAGAGACATGCCATGTGAGTGCAGGAGTCAGAACAGGAGGTGTCCTCATAGATATGAGCACAGTGACCCCTTGCTCCTCAGCAAGGGGCAGGCTGGTCCCTGACGGAGCCCCAGGGTGTAGAAACGGATTCCATCTGGTACCAACCCCAAAGGGAGCAGCGGAAGGGTGGATGAGCTGCCCCCACGGCTGGGAGCAGAAGGCCCGCGGTCCCTGTTGGAGGCCCTTCATGCTGGTCAGGGACACAGGCGAGGTGCACACGTCGTGGCACTGAGCACACAGCAGAGAAGAATGAGCACATGGTTGGGCTCACCAGGTATTCAACACCAGAGAGCAGCCCCCTGGCAGAAACACTAGCTATGTGGTTCCACCAGGCAACGCACATGAGTGTCAGCTTACTACCACTGCTGTCACTCCGATGCTATAAGCGCCTCACACCCACTAGGATGGCTGCTATCAAAACTGGAAAATGACACATATGGGAGCAGAGGTGAAGAAAGCCGAGTCCTGTGCATGGCTGGCGGGATGTGAAAGTGCAGCCGCTGTGGTGGTTCCTAAAAACATTAGAAATTGAATTACCATAGGGCCCAGCGGTTCTTCTGGGTGTGCATCCCGAAGAATCGAAAGCAGGGTCTCGAATAGATATCTGCACCCCGCTGTCCACAGCAGCAGGATTCACAGCAGCCAAGAGGTGGGAAGTAGCCTGGCTGTCCATCCACACAAAGGACTGTTATCCAGTCTTAACAAGGAACAGTCACACCGCAGGTATGAAGTGGTCATGGAGGACATTGTGCTGAAATAAGCCAGGCAGAAGGACAACTTCTGGGTGGTTCTGCGCCTAGGAGGTCCCTAGAGGAGCCGCAGCCAGAGACGGGATGTGGGGGGCAGTGGTGGAGGCTTTGTGTCGACGAGTTTTAGGTTGGGACAGGGGAGGTGGATAAGGGGTGGAGGGGACAGCTGCACATTGTGTGATGCACTTGAACTGTGCTCATAAGTGGGCCAATTTTGTTATGTATATTCTACAATAAAAGAGTGAATCTGTGTGTCAAGGGGCCCCCCAGTGAGACGAAAGGGGTAATGATTCCAGGAGTGTTTCTAGGAGAGCTGGAGACACATGACCCTGCCCTTGTGGCCAGGCCTGTGGCTGCACATGCCGAGGGCAGGGACACTGTTCCCACTAGGGGGTGTTCACCCCACATGCCTGCAGAGGACAGGGTCAGACCCAGTGGTGCAGAGGAAGTTTTGGGGAACTCCAGGGCCTCGGGCCGGCAGGGCTGAAGATGAGAGACTGGCCAAGGGCGCGGGTGAGCCACGGGAACAGTTAACCACTATGCCTCCCTTGCCTGGTGGGCGCCCTGCAGATGCCCCGGGGAGTGTTCAGATCCATCGCCAGAAGAAGCCGCGGGACGCCCCACGGGCAGTAGGGGCCAGCAAGGCAGACGGTGCTCCTCGGTGCTCCCAAGTATCCAAACTTGTGACTCAGCTTTCAGCCCAGAAACAGCCCTTCTCCAGGCAAAGGGTCTCCACCCTTGGCGGCCTGCGGCTTTCTTGGGGTGGGAGTTGGTTACTATGCGGCCTCGGAGCCCCCCAGCCTGTGGCTCTGACCTTCCAGGGGGTGGGAGTGTGCGGGTGTGTCTGCAAGCTCAGACTGCCCTGAGGGTTTTTGGCAGCTTACAGATTCTCGGGGACCACGGCCGGAACAGCATCACGCTGCAGAGGTCCCCGTGTGAGGCTCTGCTCCGTCCCCTGGGATTGGTCTCAGCGCCCCCAGGACTGGCAGTTTGTGGCTGACAACAAGGGTCAGCTGGGGTCGGGGAGACCACCCATGGCTGGCTTGGAGATCTCTGCAGGGCAAGGGTCTCCCTGGGAAAGGGCTGAGGGAGGGGCTGCAATCCCCGCCTCCCGCCCGGGAGCTCTCTGGGACCGCTGAACACCCAATCCCGTTAAGCTTTGGGGCCCAGCAGTCACTTTAGCCTCTGAATGGGCCCCACCTTTCAGGCGCCTCCAGCTGCCTCCTTATCTCCACCTGGGCGGAGCATCTCCAGACCACCCAGACCCCTCCTGTCTGATCTGCCCGTCTAGGGTGGGGCCGTCAGTTACTATTTGGAAAATGCTCCCAGGGCAGTTTTGATAAAGTCCTCTCAGAGCTGCAGGGATCCTGGTCCCCAGCCAAGGTCCAAGGTTTCAGACCCCCAGGTTGCGCTGCCCTGGGCTGCCCAGACCAGTTACCTTCCGGGGACAAATGAGCCATTTCCTCCGCGTCACTGGCTCTTCTGCACCTGTGCTCCGGAACCTCTGAGGAGTCCAGATTCTTGGACCCAGTTCAGCCAAGAGGCTCGTTCCTGGCCAGGGCAAGGGTGGGACCCTGGAGAACGCCCCGCCTATGTAGCCCAGAGACTGCTCACAGCCCCTAAGGGCTTACTGCCCCAGGGCAAGCCTACGCCTGTCCAGCTCAGCAGGTATCCCAGGAAGTGGGGGAGGGCCCAGCACTGCTGTGCTGTGCCGGGAAAGCTCCCAGTGGGCAGGGTCTGGGGACACCTCAGGACAGTGTGGCGTTTCTGGACCTGACCTCAGGCTCCACTGCCTCCCGGGAAGGTCCTGGCCACCAGAGAGGCACCCAGCCCACCGCAGGGCCCCCGCAGTGCTGGCCTTCCCGCCCCTCCCGTCTCAGGAGGCGGCTTAACCTCGCCGTGACCTCTGCGGGCCCCACCCACCCGGGCCAGTCCTACCTAGCACACGACCCGCAAACATTCACAGGACTAAATCTGAAAAAGCAACCTTTTTATTGAACGTACACCTGAGTTTGGAATGAGGGAGGGCCATAGGATGGGGTCGAGGCCGAGGGGGGTCACGGACCTACAGAGGGGCCGGGCGCGGGTCCGACAGGACGCCCCGCTCGGCAGCGGCACTGCCCAGGATGAAGCCCACAGCCAGGGACACGGTCTGGTCGAATGAGCCGCGAAGCTGCTCCACGTGCTGGTTCAGGGTCAGCAGCTGGTCGCGCAGTGGGCCCAGGACGGCCACGATGTCACCCAGGTGGCCCAGGGTCTGCAGCAGGGCGGCATTCAGCGACGGGGGCGCGGACTGCGAGGGTGCCTGGTCCTCAGGGCGGCCGGGCACCGAGTCCGGGTCCTCGTGGGAGGGGTCGGGGGTCGGCGCCGGAGGGGAGCTGGGGACGCGGATGGGCGCGTGCTCCTCCCGGCGGCCGGATGTGGGGGCGAAGGTGGAGAGCGCCGTCGGAGAGCCCGGGGTGCGGGGATCGTCGGCAGACTTGGGAGAGGACCTGCCGAACCGGGGAGTCCAGGCGGGGTCCGCGTCGAGGTCTCGGCTGGCGGGCAGCAGCGGGGCGCCTGGAAGGCGGAGCGCGTGGTCGGGTCGGGTTCCCGGGCCCCGCCGCCCCTACCCACCCCACTCCGCCTACCTGGCTCGGCTGGCGCGTGCGGCGCGCGGCGGCCGCGCTGGGGGCGCCGGGGTCCGGGGGAGCGGCGGCCGCGCTGGGGGCGCCGGTGCCCGTCGTCGCCCAACAGCCCCATGAGCTCGCGGATCTGCGCGTCGAACGGCCCGGGCGGCTGGCCGTGGGCGTCGCGGAGCTTGTCCTTGAGAAACTTGTAGCGGCGGCGGCACTGGGCGGGCGTCCGCCGCACCTGCTGGCGGGCCAGCGCGGCGGACACGCGGCGGTAGGTGGGCAGCGCCTGGCGGCGGTCGAGCAGCAGCGCGCGCCACACGGGCGGCTGCAGCAGGGTCCCCAGCAGCAGCTCCGTCTCGCGGGCGCTCCAGGGCGTGCGCTGCGCCGAGCCCGGGGACACGGGCGACACGGGCGACCCGGGTGCCGCGGGCGGCCACGGGGACGCGGGCGCCGCCAGCGCGCCGGGCGACGGGGGCCGCTCGGGCGGGGTCCCCGGCGCGCCCTCGGCCGGCCTCGGCTCCGAGTCCGGGCTGGCGGGCGGTGGCGGCTCGCGGGGGGCGGGCGGCGGCGGCCTGCGGGGCCGGAGCAGCATCCTGGGGCGGCGCGCGCTCGGCGGGGGCCCTGGCGGGAGAGGCCGCCCACGCGCTCCGAGGACCCTGCGCGTCCGCCCTCCGCCGCGCCGAGCCGGGTCTACGCGGCCCCGCCCCCTCCGCCCAAGTTCAACGCGGCGGTGTTCCGGGCGCCGGAGGTCGCCGCTCACAGCGCGGCCCCGCCCGCCGGGGAGGGCCGGAGCGACGGAGGGGGTGGGCTTTGGCCTCCTGAACTCTCTGGACGGAGCGCCGGCGATTCTGGGAACGGGCGCTGGGGGCGAAGGGTTCAGCTCGTCCTTACGCAGGAGCCGTGCCCTTTCACCACCGCGCGGGTCAGGCCCCCGAACAGGCCAGCCCTGGAAGGTCCCCTGCGCCCCTGCTTTTTGCCTTTGTTGCGACCTAGTGCGTTGTTTGTAGCTATAACCATGTGCTGGCTCCGACCCTGCCTCTGGTGTGGGTTGAGTGTGTGCACGGGAGGTGGAGGTCATCGCCACGTCATCAGAATTAGTATCGTAATTCACAGGCTTAACGGAAAGAAGCTTCTTTACTCTCGCGAAGAGTACCTACAGCTAGCATTATGGTTAGTATGAAGTGTTGAGCGTTACCTCCCTGAGATTAGGGGACAAGGATGCCCAAGGTCACCGATTCAGTTAAACATTATTCTAGGAATGCTGGCCAGAGCAGTAAGACAAGAAAAAGGAATAAGATGCATAAAGACTGAAAAGGAAGAAGTAATGATTTGTGGATGATGTCATTGTATGCAAGGAAAGTAAAATAAACTATAAGCACATTAGGACTAATAAATGAATTTAGCAAGGCCATTAAATAGAGCAATAAACAAAACCCAATTGTCTTTTTGTGTACCAGCTACAAGAGTTTTATGAAGCTTTTTAGTTTGGGATAATTTAAGATTTACAGCCAGGTTTTGATGACAGCACAGCGCCCTCTTGCTTCCCTGGGCAAACATCTTGCCCAACCACGGTATGTCTGTCCAAGCTGAGGAATCAATATGACCGCGACACTATTGACTAACAAGCCCAGGCTGCACTGGGGTTTTACCAGGCTTTCCACCAAAGCCCCTTTTCTGTGCCCAGATCCCAGGCAGGGTGCTGTGCTCCGCCTCCTCAGCCTCCTCTCTGCACTGTGGCCGTTTCATGTCCTTTGATTTGGGATTATCTGGCATCTTCTGATTATCCTGGGGTTGTGGGTTTTTGGAATAAGACCACGGAGGGCACGTGTGTGACTTTGGTAGGGCTCACAGCGTGGTGCTCACCCTGATACCAGTCAAGGCAGTGCCTGCTGAGGCGGCCCGTCCCCAAGTCCACCCCACCTTGGGGGTAATAACCATGCTGCACCATGGAGGCACCTACACATGCTGTTTGGGATTCTCCTGGATTCTCTTCATTTGTTCACCTGCTCAGCTGCCCATTTCTCCGTGTGGCCTCCCGGATGCTTGTTACGCCTGGGCCACAGTCTGACACTGCTGTGTCCGGGTGCTCAGATCACCCAGCCTGGCTCAGACCACTCAGAGCCCCTCACAGCTCTCTCCCTCTTTCCCAGCACCCCCACCCATCCCACTCCAAGCACTTCTTGCTTTGTGGCACCACAAGGTGTTCCTGGCTCATCTACTTCCCCACCCAGCCCTACGATTAGCACTCAGACAGATTTTCCAGAGGTCTGTGGTCCTTTTTGGAGAATGGTGTCTGGGTATGGTACACCTGCTGCTACTGGGGTGTCACAGTTTCCAGCCAATGTTCCCAGGGGGATTTTGTCCCCCCCCAGGGATATTTGAAGGTGTCTTTGGTTGTCATAACTTGGAAGGGTGCCGCTGGCATCTAGAGGGTAGAGACTAGATGGCACAAAACCTCATGCAGTGTCCCAGAGGTCCCCAACAGAACTTCCGCCCAGGGTGTGTGCAGTGCTGTGACCTAGGACCCCTGTGCTGGCCCTACAGGGGCACGTGGGCAGGCACCTGTGTGCACTGACCCAGATGCCCACACGCCTGGGTGTATTTCTGTACCTGGGCACCTTGCACCTGCAGGGCATGTTCATTCTTGCCTCCCCCTGGCTTTTCAGCAGCTTCTCTCTGATAGCAGGAGGCAGGGCTCTCTCATTCAGGGTACCTATTGTTCCAGCATCCTTCGCCCGGTCAGCACGGTCACTTCCTGTCCAAACACCATTTCCCCTTGTTACTTAGGGTAACAAGGCTGCTGAGAGGCTTCTGGGGAGCTGGGGGCGGTGGGAAGGTGGGCCGCGCAAGGCATGTACATCAGCAAGGATTCCCGCTTCCTCTGAGCAGGCTTCCAGTGTAGCAACAGTAATGGAAACAACACGAAAGCCCCCTGTCCCTGAGGGTGAACCCCAGGGGCAGCCGTGGAGTCCTGCCCAAGTCTCAGCGACGGGAACAGCCTCTTCAAGGAGTGTTTCTGTGTTTGGGGCCAGGATGAGGGCGAGGGTGGGCTCCACGGCATTCCCTGTGACTGGGGTAGCTGGGTGGCCTGTGCCCCACCAGCCTGGGCACTGATTCCCGACTGTGGCCTGGCAGGGGTCCCACGGGCCCTCTGCAGGGGCGTGTGCTGATGCCCCGGTGGCCGCTGGGCCGGGCTGACATCTCTGTCTCTCTGCAGCTTACCCAGGGTGACCTTGGGCTCGCCCCCAGCATGACCGCGGATGCAGTGGGGGCTCCCCCAGAGCGTCGGTTCACTAGGCCAGACTCTGCTCAGCATAGGAGAGGAAGGTACAGGGTGGGAGCCTGGGGTCTGTGGCTCAACAGGGCTGTCAGTTCTCTGAAAGAAAAACCCATTGCTTTGATTGGACCTGGTGCCCTAAAGGGGACCCCAGTCTTCACAGTGCTTCATTCATGTCTCAGGAGGGAAGACGTCCTGGGCTTTAGTGATTTTAAGGTGGGTGAGGACCCAGGCCACCCGTGACCTGGACACCACAGCTCCTGTCCATGTGACAGGCTTACAGAGTTTTACCTTCCTATGGGGCAGGGGACTTTATTGTTCATTTTAGGACTTCCCTGCTGACTCACAGAAAACATCAATGGTGTATACCCCAAAACTCTGTGAACCCCTGGCCTTCCACCCCTCCTTTTCAGTGTCCCCCAGTCCTAAACCCTTCCCCCAGGACAGTCCCTGGTGACCATGCCCCACAGGAACACCCGCCATGGCCTGGGAGGGACAGCCGGCTGTGTGCCCACAGCTCTGGGGGAGGCTGGGTGGTGGGCGTGCGGTGCAGGGCTTGCCGGTGGGAATGGCTGGGGATGCGCAGGGTTTGTGGCAGGACAGCCTTGAGGTCCTGGCACTGAGGCCTGGTGGCAACTGGCCTGGGCGGTCTGTGGTGTCCTCTGGAGGCAGGCAGAGCGGGTGCTGGCTCACAGGCCCCAGAGCTGTGGGGCTGGGCCTGCACCAGGAGCAAGCCACCTTCTGGAGCACCCCTGAATCTGTCCTTGTCCGGCCATGAAGGGTTCCCCCAACCCCCAAGGCAGGCGTCATTTTGGAGACAGACAAAACGAGCCATATGAAAAGCTGTGTCGGCAGAAATTATTTTGTTTAGAAACCTGCATGTGGTGTCTGGGTGCCATGTGGACACTGCTCAAGTTGAAAGTTCCGTGGGTCCTTGTTCACAGGTCTTCACTGTTGGGGTGTTTGTGCTGGATGCTGGCTTCCATTCAGGCTTTGTGACACTGTCTTCGTTAAATTCAAACTCTGAAAATGGTCGAGAGGATTGGTAGAACATAATTCTCATAAAAAAGCCGAAGAAAGTGCACACATTTGCGTGGCCAAGGGGGCCAAGTCCCCTTTTATTCATTTAAGCAGAACCAGTGTGTCTCAAATGAATTTATGTGGGAAAGCATGTCTTGACATTAAAAATTCAGTGTTTTTATCACAACTAACAGTTTTCCTAGAAGTACCACTAGCTGGTTGCTCTAAAGAATCATAATTCCCAAACTCTAGAGAATAATCTTGGGTTTTGCAGGGATTAGCAGTGCAAGCACGTCCTCCCTGTTGTGGGATGTGACCTCACTGTCCTGGCCCCATGCCCCTGGCTGAGGGCATCTGCCACCTGCTGAGCAAATGCTCAGCACTCACTGTTTGGAAGCAGAACCCTGGAAAGGAGCAAACTTTGTTTTCCCTTAGTTCTGGCAAAGTGCCAGTGAGGGCAGGTTCGGGAGCCTGGTGTGGCGCGTGCATCGCATGCAGCTGTTGAAGCGGAGAGGCTGCAGCCCCCAGACGGGGTGGAGGGAACCCCTGTTTCAGGGCTGCTGTGGTGTCCTGCGTGCCCTCCCGGGAAACAGAGCCTGGGCCCAGGCACGCCTGCCTCACCAGGAGCTGCTATCAGAGGCGGGACACTGGGCACGCTGAGGCCCTGGGGCTTGCAGAGGTGCCAGTTAGGAGCTGCAAGGCGTTTACCAGCGGCAGGATGCTGGCTGTGGGCGGAGGCAACACCAGGCCTGCTGGGGGAAGGACGTGAGCCGAGCTGGACGGCAGGGGCCTGGCCAAGGAAGGTGTTGGCCTGGGGCACAGGTGCGGTTTTCTGGAAACCGCTTCCCCAGGTGGTCAGGGGAAGTTGGGGTTGCAGGTAGGAATGGAAGTAGGAGTGTGACCCCAAGTTGGGGCTTGACCAATGGGAAGCCTCAGGCTTCAGTGGAAGGTTCTGGAAACCCCGGGAACCTGTGGTTGGTATTGGGGTCAGAGGTCAGTCTAGGTCCTGGTTGCTGGACAGACCTAGGCCAGCCTTGTGAAAACCCTGCTCAGTGGGTGAGTTCACACACAGTGAGTCAGGGCGGCTGGGCATGTGGCCGGGGTGGGCTGGGTCACGGGGAGGTCTGAGAGGTGTAGGGAGGTGTGAGGCCCCTGGGGCTCACTTCAGTTCTGTTTCTGCTTTTAGATTTAAGCCACAACGGTGCAGGAATCCCCAGCCTCCCCTCTATCTGTGTTTCCCCTCGGTGAGCTGCTCTGAGCCTGTCTCTGGTGCCCTGCTGGCATGTGCCCACTGCCAGGCTGAGCCTCGGCTCCCCCGGGGGCTGTGGGTCCCCACCAAGTGGCAGTGTCCTGGGGCTCTGGGCCGGGAGCAGGTCCCTTCCTACCCCAGGCCTGCCCTGCTTGGAATCCCACGCCCAGACCCGCTGTCCTGTGCTACTGGAACGTGGCCTTCATCCTCCGCAACTTGTCCTGAATCTTCCTCGAATGCTTGTCGCTGGCGATCTGGTGGGAGGTGGCCCTGTTGTCTGCTGCTAGAATGGAAATGTCCACTCCGCTGAAACGCGCGATCCTTTCCTTGAGGTAGGATTGAAGCTTGGGGTCGGGGGCGAGTGTGTAGGGGTTCTCTTGGAAGGCATGGACCTGGCTCACCACCTTGGCGATGTTTCTGCGTTGGGGGGAGAAATGACACCTAAGTTTGCACAAGTCACAAAGGGCGGCATTCTGGGGGTCCCCAGGACACCCGAGGTTGTCATCTAAACCAAACCTTCATAGCACAGGCTGGGGGTGAGTTTGCTGTGTTTATTCCCAAGGCCAAGGCTCATTTCATTACCCAGGCCTGTCTGTCCTCCTGCCCTGTCCCTCTGTCCATCCACTTCTCATCCCACACTATTCACTGGATGTCTGTGTTGGGCCCTGGTCAGCACTAAGGATCCCAGCATGGATCAGAGCAAGGGCAGCACCGAGGGCGCAGAGGCAGATGAGCATACGTGGGGTCACGTGGGGCACACGAGCGGTTGCTGGCTGCACGTCTGATGTCCCGGGGCAGCTCGAGAGCCACCGAGGGAGTGCTGGCAGCCTGGTAACCGGCTAACGCTGGCAGACATTCCCCTCCTGCTGGGGCGCAAGCGCTCATGTTCCTGCTGGGTGAAGATGAGCCTGTGCACGTGTGAGCCGGTCGGGGGGCTGGCTGCTGCGTCTGCGCCCCTGCAGTTTTCCATTTTGCTGATGTGGATTAGTGTATGTGTGGTGCCTCTTACATTGGTGACTAAACGGGGGCCTCTACAGAGCAGGTTGGAACCACCGGGCTCCAGTTACCTGGGCTATTCGCCCAGTGAGGCCGTCTGCCTGTGCCTCCGAGGCGCGTGTGGCTGGACGGTGGCCTGGCCAGGCTCTCTGCCGTGTGCATGATGGGGAGGAAGAGCAGAGGGGAATGGGGTGGGGCAGAAGGTCTGGGGGTGAGGACCCCTGGAGACAGGCTGCTGGCCCTGCTCTGCGGTACAGCCCGAGGCCTCCAGGGCAGGCCTGGAGCCCCAGGGTGAGGCTGGGCTGGAGGCATGGCTCCTTAGGGCCTGCCTGCACCTGTCCTCTTTGGCTGGGGACTGGCTAGGGTTGTGGTGGATTCGCAGGCAGCCCCTGTCTGTGCTTCCCAGGGGGTCCCCAGGTGCGTGGGTCCCCGGGGGTACTGGTCGGGGGACAGTGGGATGGAAGGAGCAGGCTGAGACTGACCGGATCCTACGGGGATAGCTGTAGGGACAGGGGCCCAAGGGGATCATCAGAGGCCAGGAGAGAGGGAGGAGGGGACACCTGGGGGATCAGGCAGGGTGGCCACATGCCCACAGAAGTGGGGTTCAGGGTGGGCCCGGATCTCTTAATGGGTTGGTCAGGTGACCTTGGAGCAGTGTTTTGGGACCATGGGTGCAGTGTGAGAAACCCACTGTTTTTGGAAAGAGGTGGTAAGCAATCACCCAGAAGGCCCTGGGCTAGGGTGCGGGCTGAGTGAGGGGCGGGGAGGACAGGGAGACCCCCTGAGCTTGCTCTGCCCCGGGCCCTCTCACCTGAGCTTGCTCCACCTGTGGGCCCCATTGGTCATGGTGAAGCCCCCCGTCTCCAGCTGCTGGACGTGCATGGCCAGGAGGCGGGCTGAGGGCAGAGTGGGCTGGGCCCGGAAGCGCCGCCCTTCCATCAGGCACAGGCTGTCGCTCTTGAGGAAGACCTGGGACCCAGCCAGGGGCGCGGGCCGGAGAGACAGCCGAGAGCTCAGGGCCCAGTGTGCGGCCCAGACAGTCCCACTGACCCCTGTATTCCACTGCATGGGGGCTGCACAGCACCCCGACTTATATCCCATCCAAAATGCCCCTGGGTTTGCTGGATTAGGGATTGGAAGGCCAGCAGTTTTAAGCTCGCAGGCACACAATGTGCGCCGACACCCACCAGAGAGCTCTGAGCTTCCTGCTGCTGACACGGCAGATCCCTGACCTCCGGTCCGAGTGGCCCACCTGCCCGGATGAGACCCCCAGCCAGCTGCAGGGTCCCCTGTGTCTGGTGTCAGCTGCGGACGCACTGCCCTCCCACCCGCAGATGGCTGCCTGGGTGTCTGCCGCTGCCTGCCCCGGCTGCCTTGTTTGGGGCGCCCCCTCATTTACAGTCCCATGAGGCTGCCTCTGCCCATGGCGAGAAGACCAGAGGGTCAGCCCTGCTCAGGCTGGGCCCCTGGGCACCTGGATCTTGGGCCAGTGGCCCAGCGGGGGGCTCTTAGAGCTTCGTGGCCACCCTTGGCAGAGGCCCCTTGGGGAGAGGGTGAGGCCACGCTAGCCGGGCTGCTCCATGTGTGACACTGAGGGCGCTGTGACACAGCGTGTGCGGGTCTGTGGTCGGGGAGAAGCCCCGGTGCACGTGGGCAGCAGAAGCCCACATGGAGCGGCGTACCTCCACGGCCTTCAGCTCCTCCATGACCTCAGCTGTCTTTGCGGGTAAAATCCTCCAGGCCTGAAATGAAAGCGCTGGTGAAACCCCCGGCCTGGGTCCTGCCCAGCCCTCCCGCCCAGCCCGGCGACTCACAGGGGCCTGCCTCACGGCGAGGTGCTCCAGGGCCCCCAGGATCTGCATGGCCGTGGCAAAGTTCCTCTGCTCATAGCAAGATTTCGCTATCAGCAAAAACTTGGACAGCAGGTCCACCTGCAGCTGAGAGCAGAGGGCGGGTGGGCGGGGAACATCCAGGACCTGTTAAATGACCCAGCACCAGGGCGCGCAGCGGCTCCCCTCCCTCTGTGGGGCAGGAGGTGGGCAGGGGAGCGCGGGTCTCGGATGGCCATGGGGGGCGCTGGGTGGCAGGCGGGCATTACCTGAAGAAACAAGCAGGCAGATGCTCTGTGAGCACAAAGGTGTCGAAGAAGTCACCCTCATTTCTCTAAAACAAACTCACTCCCGGGCAGACCTCTGCACTAGGTGCAGGATGCTCTGGGGCTGGGGGCAGCTTCAGGACCAGAAGGGCATGTCAGCCAGAGACAGTGGGGCGGCCGGCTGGACACAGGGCCTGCCGCCGTATCTGCTGCAGGGTGAGGGGGCAGCGCCTGCCTGGGGGTCTGCTCCCACCAGGTCCTGCACATCCTCCATGGTTCGCTGGTCAGTTGGTGGAGCACAGACCATATCCAGTGGGATTCTCACTCCCAAAGGGGCTGTGCGGCTTCAGAGCAGACGCAAGGGGCCCAGCTCATGAACCCACAGGTAGTGCTTGGGTTTCACACAATTCCAGAGACTTCTAGAAGATTCTGGAGCGCTCAGCCAACTCCTCATTTCAGAGTCGCCTACTCTTGGACTGTCACAATGGCCAGGCCACCCTTCAGGTGGGAAGTGCCGGTGGCTCCCAGCCAGGTGCCCTTCCACAGGGCCTGGCGCCGTTTGTGGTGATCCTGATGGGCTGGCAGCTTGCCAGTCAGGCCCCGAGGCTGTGCACGGTCACAGCCTCCCAGCGGGCTGGTGCAGGGGCTCGGGAAACAGGTGCCCACTTGGACGCTCATGTTGACGATTCAACTTTTCCTCCATGTGTTTGAATAGATGGAGACTATGTAATTACCAGCACTTTCACATAAAACTTCCTCACATTTTTGTTTTCTACAAAATGTTTGTGGTAAAAAAATGCATGATACAAAGTTTACCTTCCTCACCATGTTCATACAGTTTGGTAGCGTTTGCTGTGCTCACCCCGTTGGGCCACAGACCCAGAGGCTTGTTTTGTCTGAAAAAACTGAACATCAAACGACCACCGCCTCCCGCTGCCTGGCCCTGGCGCCCCCACCCCGCCTCCCGCTCTCATCCGGCCACCTCAGAGGCCGTTGGGAGCCCTGGTATTTGTCTCTGGACCTGGCTTACTTCACTTGGCACGCCCCCAAGGTCCATCCATGTGCCCGTGCCAGGGTTTTGTTCCTTTTTGGGGCTGAGTAGTATTCCAGCGTGTGATGCGCCACACCCAGCCATTCGCCCGTCAGTGGACTTGGGCTGTGTCTTCCTTTCAGCTGCTGTGTCCCATCACTTTTAAACCTATCTGATGAAACTGGGACCCTGTTTTGCTTTCAAACCCACCACTATTCATCTAAGAAAAGACAAGATTTCCTTTAAGGTGAGGAACTCCATGCTGCCTCACGCTCGCCTCGCATCCCTGCCCTGCCCCCAGGGAAGGTACTGTTGTCACTGAGCGCTTCTTTGGCCGCCCAAATATCTCCAATTCAAAGTGTGAATTTCAACAATTTCTGTGACCACAGTTCACAAGCGTGGAAGCCAGCCTTCCGGGTCGGTCCGAGGTCACAGTAAGAGCAGCTTGCATTTCAGAACGGGGGAGCCCGCTGACAGAGGTGGGGCTTCCCCGCCGGTGGCTCGACTCACTTGTCTGGGCATCTCCGCCTCTCCTGGGCCTAGGGAGGCTGGGGCTGGGTGTGTGCCGGCAGGTGGCTCCCTCGTGCTGGCCTCCGGGGGTGCAGACTCGGGACGGGGAGCCCACCCCCTCCTGGGGGCTCAGGGCTGAGGGATGTGCCCAGGCAGCCAAGGCCCGTGAAGTGGCTGCCGACGTGCTTGCTCATGTCCCCTTAGAGGGTCCTTGTCATGCCCAGTCGCACAGGCCCGCCTGAAGACCCCAAATCGAGGACCCATATTTTGAGGTCACTTGATAATGTTATGGGTTAGAACAAACAGGTAAGCCCAGGGTCCCTGCCCCACGTCCTGGCAGAAGAGGACGGGTCAGTTGGGCAGCGATTAAGCCACCACAGCTCAAACATTCTCCCCAAAGGGGGAAAGAGAAGAAAACTGCACCGCTGGTGGGCCTGGGGTTGCCCCTGGGGCAGGTAGTGCCCGGACGAGGCCGCTCGTGCTGGAATTGGGTACAGCCTGGCTTTGCCCTTGGGTCGCGGGGTGGCCTCTGAGGACTCCAGGCAGCTCCTGGGCAGTGCCCCGCACCCTGAGCCCCTCAGTACGCTCAGCCTGCTCCAGGGCCGCAGCAGAGGGTTCATGCCCCGGAGCCTGATTGTTTGGGCTGCATTTGCTTTAAGGAAGCTGCTGCCCAGGAGGTGGTGAGCGTCCACCCACAGGATGCATCACACAGGCCTCGCCTTCGTTCCTCCACGTCCGTGGGGTCACCTCAAACCAGCAGGACGTGACAGCGCACCCTGAGGCTGGCCTAGGGTGTGAGGACAGGTGTTCACTGGGCGGAGGTGCAGACCCAGGGCCGGAGCCCTCCCTAGGGGCAGGAGCCCGTGGTGGGGGCACTGGTCTCGAGATGGGTGCTGGTCCCTCTTGGCCTGCCCAGCGCCCTGCCTGGAGCAGGTGTGTCAGCTCAGCCTGATATGCACAGTCCACATGCCTGGAAGGCTGGGCCTGGACCCGGGATGGCAGGAGCTTGACCTTGACCTGTTTACCCCACAAACTGGTGAGGGCAGCTGTGCAGGGGGGACAGTGAGATGCTCACACCCTTGGAGTTCAGGTTAATGGGACAACTGGCAGCCACAGTTCCCAGCTCCAGGTGTGTAAGTGTGGGACATGGAGGGTTACACAGTGTGTGATGTGTGTGTGTGACTATGGGACACTGATACTGTGTGACACCTGTGTGACTGACATGGTATATATGACTGTGTGTGACGTGTGTGTGACAGTGGTACTGTGACACGTGAAGTGGTGTATATGGCTATGTATAATGTATGAATGACAGTGTGTGTGACTGTGACACTGACGTGCGACTGGTGGTGTGTATGTGACTGACACATGGTGTGTGTGACATAGTGTGTTACTGTGTTAGAGGGACCCCTGGTGAGAAGGAGTGAGCATGTACACGTATGAGACAGGTGCACGTGTGTGAACGCTCCATGGATGAGATGACGGGTTTTCCATGGCCTGCTCTGTCCCCAGTAGAGTGCTGGGCCATCTGGGCTGGTGTGACAGGTGGGCATGTGGACAGCCAGATGTCACTGGCAGCAGGAGCTCCAGCCTTGCCCCCCGTGGCTGGGCGTGGGCTCCGTGCACTGTGCATGCAGGCCGCAGGAGTGTTGCCCCCCCACCCCCGTGCCCCAGGCCTGCGCTGGCTGGAGCTGTGAGGCACCGACCTTGGGGGTGTGGCTGGTCACGATCTCGGCAGCCACCCAGGTGCTGACGTCATCCGCACTCCTCAAAAGCTGTAACAGGTACTTGTCCTGCATGCAGCTGGGTGGAAATAAGCTGCAGGTTTTGGCTGACAGAGGCTCGGAGCTGCTGGCTCTGGGAGGGGCATAGGGGCATGTCACAGCCAGGACCTGCCCACTGCCCAGTCCCTGGGGCACAGAGGGCTCTGCAGAGCCAGGCGGCGGTGGGCGGGCTCTGCCCAGTGGGGAGGGTCTGGTTCCAAGGCTGTTCACACCAGCATCTCTGAGTGTGCACGCGGCACTTAGAGTGCCCCCACGCCCCTCCCACCCCGAGCTCCAGGCAACACCCTGCGGGTGCACACTCACCTGGGGACGGCCACGCTCTTGTCCACGACGCCCAGGGCCCGTGAATTTAGGAAGTGGACGGGATGGCACTTTTGAAACAATTCCTACCGGAGACAAGGACACAGAGGCTCAGCACCTTCCCTGAGGCCTTGTGTCCATAGCAGCGTTGCTGGGCTCGGGGTGAATGGGGCCCCCCTGCGGTCACGGGGTCAGCATCTGCTGCCAGTGCTGCAGGGCTGAGCCCTGGGGGATTCTCCATGCTTGCTCAGCCGGACGACAGTCAGGGGTCACTGCTCACCTGCCAAGGGACATGGGGACCCAGGCCAGCAGGGGGCTGGGGGCTGGGCTCTGGGTGGTGTACCGAGCTCCAGGAGAGAGGAGGCTGTGCCCCACAGCCATGCAGGGTGCCCCCCTGGTGCGTGTGAGGCGGGGGGTGTCAAGGTGGGGGAGGGGGTGGGGGCAGCCCTGTGTGCAGAGTGGGCCCAAAGCCCCCCCACCCCCTCGCCTCGCCACCAGTGCACATTGGGGAGCTGCAGCAGGCCCCTCCCCGTGACACTGCAGGGGAGCCATGTGCACCCCCCGACCCCCCGTCCTGGGGCTGCGGCTCCACCTGCTGCAGGAGCGTCAGCTGACTGAAGAGCTGGTGGGTGCTGTACTCGGTCAGGAAGTAGGGCCCCTTCTCGCTGGCCCTGGCATAGGGGCCGTAGAAGTCCTCGAAGAGGCAGGGCTTGGGCAGGGCTGATGCGATGGTGTATTGGTGCCCCTTGTGGGGCAGGGCCGGCCCGCTGCCGCGGGACAGTCGCCAGGGGAAGCCCTGCGGGCAAGGTGCACATCCTGCCAGCGGAGGCCTGGCCGTGGGCGTTTCGGCCCAGGACCCCTCAGATGGGCTCAGGTGGAGCTAAGAGCGAATCCTGCCTGGGCCATGGTGGCTCGGGGACACTTGGACCCCGCATTTCAGAGCCACTGAAGTCAGGATGTCGCGGTAAATTAGGGAGTGGCCCCTCAGCCCCATCCCCGTGGCTTCCTGACCAGCTGCTTCTTCCGCCGGGCCCCTGACCCCAGGGTCAGGGAGGTGGGTGGTCTCAGCGCCTGGTGGGTTCTCCCTGCGGTCCTTGACCCACATGGCTGGTGCCCAGGACTGACAACATGGGGAGCATGTGTACACACAGGGGCATGCATAGGTGTGTGTGCAGGCGAATGCTTGTGTATGTGCACACGTGAGCACATTACAAATGTGTGCATGCCTGTGTGTGAGCATGTGCACGTGTGTCTCCTGGGCTGGGCCCAGGAAGCAACCCGCCTGCCCAGGAGGCCCTCTCCCAGAAAGGTCCCCACCTTCCGGGAGATGCTGTCTTCTGAGAGCCTCTTACAGAGGGCATTGAGGGGCCTGGTGTCCTCCTCGGCCTCCTTGGGGTTGTCCGGGTCTGAGCTGCGTGGGGCACCCTCAAACCTGCAGTCGGTGCCTACCTCCAGGAGGCCCAGAAGGTGCTCAGCGGAGCCGTCCAGGGGCAGGATCTGGGCAGGAGCACAGAACGGTCATGTGGCCCCTCCGGGGGCAGCTACTCCCACCCCAAGTGCCACTCATGGCTGCCACCGGCCCAGCACCTTGGAGGAGATGAAGTCCTGCAGCCTCCCCAGGAGCCCAGCATCCAGTGTGAAGTCCACAGCATAGCAGTCCTCCACCCAGGCCTGCAGGAGGCAGAGGCTCCTCCTGTAGATCTTGGTGAAGGTAGAGGTGGGGTCCTGGTGAGCCCTGGAGCAGACAGAGGAGGCCTGAGCCCCGGGGCCCTGCCAGCAGCCACCACGTGGACCGTGGCATCAGGCAAGCAGGTCTGTGCAGGGTCTGAATGAGGCTCCATCTTCCAGGGGTTACATCGGTCCTACCTTGTCCTCCTTGGGACCAGGCTCTGTATCTGGGGCAGAGCCCCTGACGTGTCTTCACCCACGCCTGGTACCCCATCTGGAGACCCGCCGGCCCCCCAAGAAACAGGGTGGGAGCCAGGCGGAGCGTGAGGTTGCTGGTGGCCTGCTGGGCTCCTAACCCGGGGATCTGGGGGTGGGCCTGGCGAGGGGACGCCTGGGGGTCTGGGAGTGGGCTGCTGGGGGGTCTCGGGTGGTGGCAGGCAAGCTGGAGGACAGGCCTGAGGCGTCCAGCACAGTCGCCCCTGTCCATGGGCTGATGCAGAGGGACGCTGTTGTTCTCTACCTTCCCACCTTCCCACCTTTGCACCTGCCCCACCACCAACATCAGTGGCCTCTCCTGGGCCACCACTCCCTCCTGCCACTGCCGTCTGCCTTCTGGGGCCCGGTGTCCCCTTGCTTCCTCCTCCAGAGGGTCCGTCTTGCCCCTCATGGCTGATAAGCAAGGCACCGGGGCTGTGCCTGGGCTGGGCTGCCCCATGGGGCAGCGTACCTGGACAGGGTGCCGTCGACGCGGTCCAGGAGGAACCGCAGGAAGTCATGGGGTGTGCAGAAGTATCGGAAGGTGTACAGGAACTGCTGCACATAGCCCTCCAGGAAGGCATCGCTGGGGAGGGACAGTCAGATGTCAGGCTGCACAGCTCTGCCTGCCTGGTGCCCAGGACTCACCTCTGGCTGTGCAGCATCTCCCAACCCTTCACAGATGCTGTGCACACTCACACCATGCAGGACACAGCACATGACACCCCAACACACGCACACACATGCACAATTCTCACGCCCTCCACATGCACACGCTCTGCACTTCATGCATGCATCTCCTGTAACACCACAGTGGGTGTGATGCACCCGTCTTGCAGAGGAGGCAGCAGCTGAGGTTGGCCCGGAGTCCCTGCCAGGGGAGGCCTGTCACCACCAGCACAGCCCGCTCGGGAGGACGGGCCGGTGGGAAGAGGAAAGAGAGAGCTGCCCTGGGAGGGCCTCCCTGCTCTCTGCCGTTCCCCGGAGGACCTTGCACCCTAACAGCCTCCCTCGGTGACCATGCTGACACCTGGCCATCAGTTCTGGGGTCACCACAGCCTCCAACCCAAAGAAACCCCAAGGCCTCTGAAGTGGCATTGGGAGTCCCCAGAAGCCAAGAAGGGTGAGGCCTCCACTGTTGTCTGGGAAGGCAGTCTATACCCCCAGACCTGCAGGGCCCCAGGCTGGGGGTGGCCAGGCCATTGGTCCAGGGAGCCTGCCAGGAGTCCCTGCCCCAAGGAGTGGGGTGAGGCTGAGGTCCGTGTGGGACACGGGGCCTTGTTGGCAGGCCTGGGGGTCTGGGATGCTGGGTGGGCTGATGTTGCTGTGGCCCTGCAGTGAGTGGACTGGCCCCTGCTGCAGGGCAGGCATGCACACCTGCACCCATCAGGGAGTCGGAGCTGCGGTGCCGTGCTGAGAGGTGGCACGGGGCTCAGCCACGCTGGGTCCTGGGGAGCCAGATGGCTAACTATGGCATGTTTTGATTTGGTGATGCCTATGGTTCCAGGCCTTGAAAAGTATACCAGGGTGTTAATTAGGCCCACTGAGTTCTCTGGCCTCCTCCAAAGCCTTGAGGGCACACCTAAGACACAGACATGCAGGTGCTCAGTAAAGGAGGGGCTGACACAGGTAGGTGCTGATGCAGGGAGGTGCTAACACAGGGAGGTGCTGATGCACACGGGGAGGTGCTAACAGGGAGGTGCTGACACAGGGAGGTGCTAACACAGGGAGGTGCTGATGCAGGGAGGTGCTAACACAGGGAGGTGCTGATGCACACGGGGAGGTGCTAACAGGGAGGTGCTGACACAGGGAGGTGCTAACACAGGGAGGTGCTGATGCACACGGGGAGATGCTAACACGGGGAGGTGCTGACGCACATGGGGAGGTGCTAACACAGGGAGGTGCTGACAGAAGGAGGTGCTAACACAGGGAGGTGCTGACGCACATGGGGAGGTGCTAACACAGGGAAGTGCTGACGCACATGGGGAGGTGCTAACACAGGGAAGTGCTGACAGAAGGAGGTGCTAACACAGGGAGGTGCTGATGCACACGGGGAGGTGCTAACACAGGGAGATGCTGACACACATGGGGAGGTGCTAACACAGGGAGGTGCTGACGCAGGGCACCTTGAGGCTGATGGAAAAGCCTTTGTCAAGAGTGCAAACATTTCAGATGAGGGAAAGCAGGCACCTTTCCACCTCTTCTGCCCCCTTTCTCCTTCTGGCTTTTGTTCTCAAAAGGCCTGAGGGGACCCGGGAGCCCGCACCCCTTCCGCTTCCCCACACGGCACTGGAGGTGCACCTGGAGTAGAGGTATGCCATGAGCCCCAGGGGCGTGCCTGCCTGCAGGACGCGGGCCTTCCTCTGCCGGCCGCCGCGAGGGTGTTTGCTGACATTGTAGAAAATGAGGGACGAGGACTCGTCCAGGGGGCTGAAGTCCAGCGTGTCGCAGGGCGCTGCCGAGAGGTTCACAATCACGGGCAGGGTGCAAGGCTCCAGGCCCCACCGCTCAGCATACGTGACCTGGTGGGTGGGGGGCGTCACCGTCTGGGTGGCCGCTGATCCCAGGAGTGGACAGCTTGTGGCCCCTCAGAAATCAGGGCACATTTTTACAACTTAGCTTGGATGGATGTCTGAGGTTGTAACCCAGGAACCCGTGGGGCCCTGGGGTGACGCCAGCCCAGAGACTCACCTGCAGGTACTTCTTGACCAGGCTGAGGAACTGGACCCTGGATTTCATCTCGTCCAGCTGCCCTTTCAGCTTGGACAGTATGGTCTTCACCTCGGAGCCTGGGGCAGGGAGAGTCAGTGCAGAGTGGCCGAGAGGCGCGTGGCCCGCCCACCCACCCGCCCGCCACTACCTTTATTCCGTTTCTCCTTCTGTAGGAGCTTCTGGTGGAACTTCACAGTCTTCCGGTAGTTTCTCTGCTCCATCATGAGCTGCTGCTCCAGCTCCTGGTGGGGACAGAGCCTGTGAGCCCGCAGGCACCCCTTGTCCCTTGTCTGGGAGCCCCCGGTCAGCAGGGCCCACACAAAGGGAGGTGCAGGGACGTGGGAAGGACCCGCACATGGGGACAGGGGTGTGCCCGCAGGGGGTCAGAAGCCCTGCTGTGGCTGAGCCGAGGAGTGACGAGGAACGAGGTGCAGATGTGACCGTCCCAGGAAGGCGCATTTGGAAAGCAGATCCCATCAGATGCTTTAAAAAGATGAGGCCAAAGTGAGGCAACTGGTGGAAAATCACCCTCATCAACTGTTCCCCCAGGAAGCCAGGCCCTTGCCATCCCCTGCGGACGAGTGGGCAGAGGAGGGGGTACAGTGACCGTTGCTGGGTCCTGTCCCGGGGACCCGGGCCCACGCCTGACTGGTCCTTGGATCAGCCACGGGCAGGGGCCTGTGGGGCACGGTGGGGGTCCACTCAGCAAGCGGCACTTCCCCCGCCCAAGCACGTGAGGTGGTGAGACAGCCCCACGGCCCCCAGCTTCCCACGGTACCCCTGCCCAGGGCTGCATCCTGGGACAAGATGACACCCCAGGCCCTGTGGGTGGCTGGCCCTTGGGTCCAGGGATGCACCCCCTCTTCACACCCTGGAGGCCACCATGCACGGGGTTTGCTCCAGCCCCTCAATCGCTGCTGTGGGGCTTCTATTCAGGCTGACACACGCAGGACCCAGGACCCCCAGGCTGCAGGGAGCCAAGCCCCCGCCCAGCAGAGCATTCAGCCACATGCTCCTTCAGGAAGAAGTTGCCATGAGCGTTCTGGCAGGGGCAGCCCCCAGCCCCCATCCTTGGTCCCCATTTGCCTGCACGGGGTGTGGGAGGGGCAGAAGGCCCTGGGACAGTGGATGTCAGAAGGGCTGGGTGCAGATGTGGGCCTCCCTCAGTAGGTGAGCACAGGGACAGCCTCGCCCAGCTGCCCGGCTGCTAGCCAGGCTGAGGCGGACATGGTCCTGGGCAGTGAGGGGTCTGGGAGCTTTGGGCTCCCTGCAGTGGGAGGGGTGCACCCCAGCAAGGTGTTGGGCTCCAGGCGGGGGGCCAGAGGGAGGACAGGTGGGCCTGGGGAGGTGGGCAGAGGCCCAGGGCCGCTCAGATCAGGAGAACATTCCTGCTAAGGGGGCGCTGTCACAGGACGGGAGCCCCTCCCTGGGCAGCAGCCCGCAGCACCCCCAGGAGGGCAGCCCCAGGCCCTGATCACCATGCCCGCAGAGGCATTGATCTGAAGGCCAAGCTCACAGTGGCCGTTTGGGAAGTGAGTCAGCTGACATCCCACAGCAACATGCCTTGCTTTGTGATACATTTGTTTCTGAACATTTTTGTAAAATAATGCAGGTGGTATTTTTATTTAAATATTTGAGTGCTGTCTATCTGGTGGTTTTACTGAAAACGTGGCTTATGTGTCTGTCTTTGTCTGTGTGCTGTTGTTCTAGCCACACGTGGCAGACAGCCCCACCCAATGTCGGAAGGTCCAGGCCCAGGGCGGCCGTGGGGCAGGGGGTGGCCAGGCGGAGGAGGAAGGGAGCTGACCGAGCACAAAACCACGTCCCTCTGCCAAACCTCAGTTGCAAAACCAGGTCCCCCAAGATCTCTGGACCCCCTTCTAACTCGGTCATGTATAGGCTGCAGGGGGAGGATGTCACACTGGGAACAGTGGGCAGTTGTCTCTGTGGAAGCGAGGGTGGGGAAAGTCGCCTGAGACCACCCCGAGGTTTCCATGTGGCAGATGCTTCTGGAGGAGGGTGTGGGCCCTGCCTTCACAGCCTGGTCCAAACCCGCCCCCCACATCTGCAGGGCCCCCAAGACTAGCCGCAAGGGTGGGGGATGAGCCCCTGGGCTGTGGGACAGAGCATGCATCCAGGGCAGGATGTGCAGGAGCCACCGCCACATGCGGCATCTCCAGTACTGAATGAAAGGACATGTCAGTCCCTCTCGTGGTTACCCTGTGGGCTGAGCCGATCTGGAACATTCAGCACTGGGATGGCCTGTTGGATGGCGTGGGTGGTGAGACACAGCTGTCAAGGCAGGTGGCCCTGCAGGGCTGTGTTCACAGTGGGGCTCGGCCCCTGGCTGGACACGCAGCTGGAGAGAGGGCTGGGGTCTCTGCAGCCCCACCCACACTCCCCTGGGGTCCTGGCTTTCTGGGGATAGGGCAGTGACCCTGGCGGGCTTCCCAGGGCTTCCCGCGCAGCTCAGGACAGATGTGGGGACAACACCCTTGGAGGGCCATCCAGCGTCCCCCGTCCACGTGTCCTGGCCCCTGGACACCGTGTGCCCAGGCGCGCTCTGGGGGTCTGAGCAACCTCAGTTTATTAACTTAGGTACGAACTTTATACTGAACTGCAGACCAGTTCCTGACAAAGACTGTTCTGAGGGTTTTAAAAGTAAATGTATGTGAACTTCAATTCCCACAACACGCGGGATGATGGGCAGGAGGTGAGCACAGGGCTCGGGCACAGGCCGGCCGGACAGCGGGGCTGAGGAGGGCACCTGGGCCGCGAGCTCCGGCGTGCCCTTGGCCTGACCGTGCAGGGTGTTTCTGTGGGACGGAAGGAGCCCCAGCTTGTGGGAGAACTAAGTAGGAATGCCCCGAACACCGCTCGCAGTGGGAGTACATGTGCCTGAAGGCCGGTCAACACTGGAGGGCACGCCAGAGACGTGGGCAGAGTGAGAGAGCGCCCTTCACTGAGGTACCGAAGGCAAAGCCTGCTTAGCAGCAGGCGAGGCACAGACGCCGGCAGAGTGGCCCACTGTCTCCCTTGCTGTGTGCTGCTCACGCACACGCCCAGTGCCTGGCCTGTGCCCCTCATGCCCTCCCTTTAGGTAGCAAGTGTGAAAGTGGGCTCACTAGGTTTATACCTGTCGCGTTTTTCTGAGGCTCCTATTTTGAAACAGACACATGGGTTCTCAGAGAAATGTGGACCCGCGGCCACAGGGGCCTCCCAGCGCACCCGATACAGAGGGCGTGGGGACTCACCTGCCGGCACTCTGGTTCCAGGAGGGACGCCTTCCACGGGGGGCAGAAGCAGGGGGAAGACAAGGTCACTGCTGGCCGCCCGCCCTGCTGCTCTCCCCCCTGACGCCTCCCTCCTCCGACTGCCGCCCACGCCCCCAGGGTGACCACGGACCAGGCGCCCAGGGAGGGCCTTTTAGGCCCAGGGAACCTTGTTCCAGCCACAGGATCACGTCCAAACAGGGGCAGGCGCTGGCCCGTAGCTTCGGGCTGAGCTGGTCCGAGCCCACTTTCAAGGGCAATCTAAGTGTGGCGAACAGGTGACCTGGGGCTCCTCTTGGTGGGTCCCTGCACAGGCTGCCACCGTGAGGAGGACGCAGGGCAGAGGAGAGGGCCCTGTAAGCCCACACCCAACTCTGCACAGGGGACCGGCGAGGGGCCACAGCGAGCTGCCCCGTGGAGGTGCTGCCTGTCCACAAGGATGTGGCTGCAGTCAGTGAGGCCCACCCAAGACATCAGAGGATGTGACCTGTGACATCAGAAGGTGACCTATGATGTCAAAGGACATGACTTGTGATATCAAGGACATGACCTGTAACACCAGAAGGTGGCCTGTGGCATCAGAGGGCATGATCTATGACATCAGAGGGTGACCTGTGACATCAGAGGGCATGATCTATGACATCAGATGGCGGCCTGTGACATCAGAGGGTGTGATCTATGATACCAGAGTGTGGCCTGTGGCATCAGAGGGCATGAGCTATGACATCAGAGGGTGGCCTGTGACATCAGAGGGCATGTCTATGCTATCAGAGTGTGACCTGTGGCATCAGAGGGCATGATCTATGACATCAGAGGGTGATCCGTGACATTGGAGGACACACAGGACTGGCACACGTGCTTTCCCCATGACTGTTTGGAGGAAGTGGTTGGGAAAATCCATGAGGGTGTGGTGAGATGCCTCTGGGTCCCTTTCCTCTTTACTGGGTACTGGGCACGGGCTCCACCCTGCACTGGCCCCGTGTCAGCAGGGCTCGCGTCTCATGGTCCAGCCCCCCACAACAGGGATGCCGGTGGGGTGGTGTGGACAGCCGGGGAGGGCGAGGTGACCCCAGGATGCTGCCCGTAGGGTCTCTCCTGTCCACGTAGGCTCAGCCACCCTGACGTCTGGTCCGTGAGCCTCAGGTCCCCAGGCAGCGCTCATCTGTCCCCCTCTATGTTCTCAACTCATTTCTAAATTTTTGTTTGACTAAGTATACATAACAAAATCTACCATTTGAAGGATTTTCTATCCTGCAGCCACATGGCCCCAGGCGCACTCCCACTGAGCAGCCACCCCTGCTGCCCACCCCAGGGCCCTTCCTCTTGCAGCACCGAACTCTGTCCCGCGGACGCTGCCTGCCTCCCTGCCCCCTCGCTGTACGCTGTCCACATGGACATGGTGCTCCGGGGACGTCCCGTGAGTGAGTCACACAGCGTCTGTCCTGCGTCTGGCTTGCTGCCCTGAGCACAGTGTCCTCAGGCCCCTCCGTGTGGCCTGTGCAGCATGCCCACCGTTGTGATGGCTGAGGGTCACTCCGCCAGACGCACACTCTGCTTTCCTTTACCAGGGCCTCCGTGGTGGACGCTGGGCTGCTGCTCCTCTCAGCCGTCCTGAGTCCTGCTGCTGTGAACCTGGGGTGCACATTTCCGCATCCCTGCTTTCCCTTCTCTGGTGCACACCTGGACGTGAACACTGCTGGGTCACGGTATTCTGTGTTTACTCTTTCGAGAAGCTGCCTCACTGTTTTCCACAGCCACCCTGTCTTATGGTCCTGCCAGCAGTGGCCAAGGGTTCTGATTTTTCCGCATGCGCGCCAGCACGCTGTCTGTGTCCCATCTTCACGGTAGCCCTCCAGTAGGTGTGAAGGGACGCAGCCCTGTGGTCCGAACCTGCTCTTCCCTCGTGACTCATGACCTTGAGTGTCTCTCCCAAGTGCTTGCTGGCCAGTGTATCCCTTTGGAGAAACATCTGTTACAGTTGCCTATTCTTGGTTGGGTGGAGGCTGGATTCTGAGTTCTTCACGTCCTCTGGCTACTAATCCCTTTGCAGATGAGCTGCGGACACTCGCCCACGTGCCGGGGGTGCCCTGCACTCTGTGGACACTGTCTTCTGAGGCACAGAGGCTCTGTCAGAGCAGCAGTCAGGCGGACACGAGCAGGACGGGAGAAAGGAGGGAGGCAGCCCCCCCAGTCCCCACCCAGAGGCCGCCCTGGGCCCCTTGGACCAGCCCCCTTTGAACCCCCTTGTAGTTCTGGAACATGCGTGCCTAAGGAGACTCGTCACTGTGGTGGCCCCGCTCACATCTGGGTTTTGGCCCCTCACAGGTCTTAGCTGCTCTTGGGAAGATGACACCCGAACAGGCAGAGAGGTTGGAGAGGGGGAACCATGGCAGATCCTCAGGGTGGTGCGAGCGCGACCGGGCAGGAGGGGGACCTGCACAGACCCCGTGAGAGACGCCACGTGAAACCACGCGGGCGGCTGCCCGCCTCGGGGTCAGCCCCTCCTCCGTCTCCGGGGCTGCTTGCCTCTTGCTTTGCTAAACAAACCCCCTGCAGATTCAACTCTCTACGTGTCTCCCCCAGACTCTGTCCTTGGGGAAGGCGGGAGTGGGGGGCTCCACATCACCGTGAGGAGCAGTTTTCATCGTAATTGAGTCCAGTCTGTCCATTTCGCCTTTGTTGCCTGTGCTTCTGGGGTCCCACCCGGGAAATCACGGCCACATCCCCGTTGGGGAGATTTCCCCGTGTTTTCTCCCAAGTCTGTATGGCTTGGGTGCTCTTGATTTTCTAGGTAATTTTTGGGAACGGCACAAGATACAGGCCCAGCCCCACTCCTCTGGGCGTGGCCTTCCAGCGTGTTGCACGCGGCCCTTCCCCGTCGGGCGGTCTTGGCGCCCTTGCCAAGAATCATCCCACCGCGTACATGCCTGGGCCCTGTGCTGCCCCGCCGGTCTCTGTCCGGCTGTGCCAGCGCCACCCTGTCCCAGGGATGGCTTTGTGGTCGGGTCCGAGATGAGGGCGCAGGACCTCCCCAGTCGCTCTTCTTTTTCACGGTGGTTTTGGCTGTTGGGCCCCTTGGAATTGGACTGTGGGCTGGGCTTTCTGTGTCTGCAAAGACATCGGGGGGCCTCCTCCCTTTTTAATTCGACCACCTGTATTTCCGTCCTGCTCTGGTCAGGATCCGGTTCTGTGCTCCTTTTGTGCTCAGCCTCCCGGCGCCTCCTGGGACCCTTGACAGGCCCCATCACTGCGCTTCGCTCACTTCCTCACTTCCTGGCTCATCCTGTGCCTTTCTCGCCCCAGCCCCAGGTCAGCAGTGTCTCCAGGAGCCCTGGTCCTTCCCTGGACCCGGGCCCTGGGCTTGCCTCTGGCGTGTCACTGCACCCGGGCCACTCAGCTGGCAGCTGGACTCTGGCGGGCGCGTCTGTGGGCGAACCGCAGTCTCCTCCCAGCGCCCCAGCCTCCTAGGGCCTTGCGGCCTCAGGGCAGCCCATGTGGGGAGGCTGGGGGGCCTGTGCTCATCCAGGAAGTGGGGCTGCCCATCCCCGCCTTCCCTTCCTGAGCCTCAGGTTCCTATCACAGGGGGATGAGGTGCGCTCCCTGCCTTTTTGACGTGCTTGGCTTTCTCCTCCTGGGCACTGGGCGCTGCTGGGATGAGACATTTAGCCATTGGAGCAGGCACCACTGTGCGTGAATGCATGCTAAGGAAGTGGGGTAAGGCCCCCAGGCCCCCAAAGGAAGGACAGAAGCCGGGGAGGTTTCAGGGTCTGAGTCCGGTTCTGGGAGCCTCCCTCTCTCTGGCCAGTGCTCCAGATTTGAGTGCAGTGACACGGAGCTTCCACGGGGCCTGATGCCCTAATGTGGGCCCCGGGTGTCTGAGGTGTGGGCCACACGCCTTGCCAGCTCTGCATGCAGCCCCTGGTGCATGATGAGGCCTGCGGTCACGTCACTGAGATGGCAGGAGCCGCTCCTAACTTGGGATGAACCACCAAGCCAGCTGAGCCAGTGTCAATTAAGTTGCCACCTTTTTGTGGAAGGTTTGGATGGGTGCTGAAATGGCTGGGGAGATGCAGCTTCCCTGGTGCTCATGGCTTAGAGGCCAGAGATGGTGAGTCAAACGTGGGCAGGTAGAGGCACCAGAGCAGAACACCTGACCACCAATGGGCTCCCTCCTGTCTGTGCCCTGGGGGTCCTAGGCCTTGCGTGTGACCCTCTGGGTCATGGGGGGCTGTAGCCCAGCTCCCAGGTCCTGGTCACTGAGGGTGCCAGCCATGGGTCCAGAGCTCTGGGGCTGCTCTGCACAGTGGCTGCCAGGCCTGGTCACTCTCAAGTCTGTGGCCTCCTCTCACCCCACTGGCCAGGGAGGAGCAGGGAGCCCCAACTCTGGGCATTTGTGCAGAGCTCGGGCAGCACCGACCCTGGGCTCTGGCCTGAGCGCAGGGCCAAGGGCGAGGTGCTGCTGGGTTCCCTGCATCTCAGAGTGACGCTGCTAAGAGACGGGATTGGGGGGGCTGATGGCAGCAGGGCTGTGCCTGCCTGGCCCTGCCTGACTGTGGTCGCCGGGACCTGGTGACCTCCGCCAGCTTCACCTGAGACCACGTGCCCAGCTAACAGAGAAAAGCCATCTGTTCCCCTCGGTGTGCAGGGTGTGGTGGATGTGTGGAGGGACGCATGGGGAGGGTGCCCAGCCCAGCTCAGGGTCCCTGGGCCCAGGGAGGACACCTGCGCTGTGTCCTCATCACCCGAGTGCGCCGGAGCTCCGTCTTGCACACAGGCCACGCAGGCCACAGCTGCCTCCCACACCAGCCCTGGGCAGAAGCCTGGGACTCACCAGGCTGCGGGCATTGGCATCGGGGGCCCCGCTGGCTTTCTGCCGGGCCAGCTCCTCCACGTAGCTGTGGACGTCAGTGCTGAAGCAGTCGGCCTCGTAGAAGGCGCTGGGCCAGCCGGGCCTGCAGCTCTGGAACTCAGCCGGGCTCGGGCTCATGGCCGGGCCGCCTCCCTCAGGCCTGGCCAGCTGGGCCCCTGCCCCCGAGTCTGAGGCCCCACCGACTGGCTCCGGGCCCCCACCCTGTTGCAGGGCCTGTCCTGACTCGGGCTGCTGCCCCCTCTCTGCTCTTACCGACTTCTGAGGCCGAAATCCCACCTCGAAGTTACCCCGTGAGAGCTCGTCTGCGTCCACCTGGGGCAGTGATGGGGTCGGGCAGGGACCTCGGCTGGTGCGGGTTGCGGCCGGCTTCTCCTTCCCTGGAGTGGGCAGGAGGCTTACAGGCTTGGGCAAGAGGCTGGCAAAGCTTTCGCCCAGCGCTCATGCTGGGTCAGGGCTTGAGGCCCCTGGGAGCAGCCAGGGGCCCCTTCAGCTCTAGAGGTGTCCCAAAGGGTTGTCAGGGTCTGAGGCTGCCGTCCTGCTGCCCAGGCCCCCAGGCCCCCAGGCTCCTTGGATCCCTCCCAATCTGGCTGCCCTTTGGGGTGGAGTCCACTGCGGAGACCTTTGGATTCTGAAGATGGATGGGCAAGTGCCCGAGGTGCTGCCTGCAGTGGTCGGGAGGGTGGGCTGGGCACCTTCTTGGCCACCTGCTCTGATGGCCATCACACATGTGAGCATAGTCGCCTAGCCTGTTCCCTGCGGTTCTGTCCCACTGAGACCAGATTTTGGGGAATTACAAAGATGTCAGTAACCTGGTGTTCCCGGCTAAGAGTCTAGAATAGGCCTCTGTGTTTCCCAGGAAAGATGCAAGGGACCCCCTCACTCCCCCAACCTCTCACCCGACACCCCTGGTCACCGAGATGCTGGCTGGCCATCCAGGAGGCAGGAGGCGCCCCCAGCAGCCCCAGCCCCTCTGCTGGGCGGCCTGCTTGCTGCACCCCCAGCAGACCCCCTGGATAGAGGGTCTTTCTGTAATTGTCCGGCCGCACCCAGAGGGTTGCGGTGAACCTGAGCCCCCGCCTCTCACCTGCTCCGCGCAGCGAGGGCCTTCTGCCTCCCGGTGAGCGGTCACTCGGAGCACAGGTCTTTTGGCCCATGGGTTGCGGCCCGGCCTCCTCCAGAGCTCTGCTGCCAGAACAGGGGATCTGCAGGCGCCCGGCGCCCGTGGCCCCACCCCTGGGCCACAGCGTCTCCCCACGCTGCTTTCCAGCTCGGACCTCAGGCCCAAAGCATTGGGAAGTGGACAGGAGCCCGGCGGCCCTCCTGGGACACCACTGGGCAGACTGCCACCTGCCCCTGCTCCCTGCTGTGGGACAGCCCTCCTTGGGGTAATTAAGGGCGCTTGGCAGAGCTTTCCGGTTCATTCCTGAGGCCCCCAGACACCCCTCTCGGTGCCACAAGATAGGAGGTGTGTACCTCACTGTGTATGGGTGTGTCTGGAGCCCCGGGTGTGTGGGGCCTGAGACGCGAGCAGAGAACCGTGTGGGACAGTGAACATCACAAGGTGCCCTCACTGCTCCTGCAGAAAACGCTCAGCCGCCCCCTGGCACCCACCTTCTGACACCAGAAGGGGAGCTGTCTCCCAGCGCCCGTCCGTGTGGCGGGCATGGGGGCAGGCGCTGCACCCTGTGGGCATCCTCCCCCTGGGCTCCTGGCTACCACGCCTCCTTGAGCTGGGCCCTGGGTGGGAGCGGTGCCCACACCCCCGTGACCCCAGAGCCCGCACTTCTTGCCAGGAGGAGCCGGTGCTGGAGGAGAGCTCTGGAAGGAGGGTGGGCTTCAAGCCCAACAGGGGCCCCAGGGGAACACGGGCTGGACGCCCATGGCCAGGGGAACACAGCGGGCCTCTGGGTGGGACATGGCCATTGAGGGCCGGCCGGGGGGACGCTCACCTCTCAGAGGGTGACACCTTGCCGTTCACCACTTGGAAAAGATTCTGCAGCAGCTTCTCCCCCCAGTAGAGGTCACAGAACTTCTCTGATATGGCCCCACAGAAGGTGGCATAGGTTAGATCTCGCAAGGCATAAATATATTCCCCTGGTTTTGCAAAACAACAGGAGCAAGTCCCACATGTGCAGGTATTCACCCGGTTCCCTCATGCTTACTGGGGGCAGGGGGCTGGTCTCAGGAGCTGGGGTGTGGGGAGGCTGGGCCCTGAACCCAAGGCTTCACTGCCTGCTGACCCCGCTCTGCCCCTGCCCCTCCTTGTGGGGGCCCCGCGTCTCCTTCACACTGACCGGCCACCTCCCCTGATCCTGGCGCTCCCTGGGGCCCCCGCAGTACCCATGATCAGAGCCTCCAGCCCATTGTCCAGGTAACCATCGAAGGCAAACTCCTCCTGGATGAGCCGTGTGGCCTCCTGCAGCGATGGGCAGGCCGACCTTGTCGACGGGGGCAAGGCGTCCGCACTGGAGGGGCAGAGCTTGCCATCCACTGGCTGGGGCTGCTCAGGGTGACTGTCGGGGGCCCGGTCATCCTGCCCCTGGACAGGGGCATCCCTGGGGCTGTCTGGACCAGCAGAGGCCAGGGAGGACCCTCGAGGGGCTGACAGGGCGCCCTCAGGCTCTTGGCCCTGGCCCTCGGGGGCTGTGCTCCTGGGTGGCTCGGCTGGGCGACTCAGGCCGTGGTGGGCTGCGCCGGGCCCTGGAGGGTGGGTTCCGGGGCCTCCTGCAGAGCCTCCAGGCGCGACCAGTGGGTCTGAGGCTTGCTCCGGGGCTGGCACCTCTGGAGGGCTGGCTGGGGCAAGGGGTGGCGGGGAGGGGCGCCCCTGGACTGAGTCTCTGGGCCCTGACTCTCTGAAGGGTTCTGGGCTGGGTGCCAACTGCTCAGGTGTCCTCAGGCTGCTGGCCCCTCCGTGGGCCTCAGGGGGCTGCTTCCTGCTGCCCTCCCCGAGCAGCTGGCCTCTCCTCTCCTGGAGACCTGAGGATAGGGCCAGCATGTCCCTGCCAGTGGGAGAGAAGGAGGGACCCTCAGGAGGGGCACTGGTCCCCACCAGCTCCCAGGGTGGCAGGTCCTCACCTGGGGACACCTGCATCTGGCATGAGGATGGTGGGCTTAAAGTGTGAGGCCTGGGAGGCGAGTGCTGCAGGCAGCAGCGCGGCCCCATTGTGGCAGGAGGTGGGTCCCCGGAGGGCGAGGAGCCTGGTGTTGCTGACCTGCACAATGCCTGGGGACAAATGTGGGGGAGTGCGGGTTGGGGGCCGGCATGCACACTCTCCAGAGAGACTGCCCTGTAAGACCGCGGTGGCCCCCCAACCCAACACAGGTGCAGGCCCTCCCCCGTGTCTCCAAGGGGACTTCACGGGAGGCCTGGGGGCCGAGCTGGGAGGGTGGGTGGCTGGTGCTGGGGCAGCTGGAGAGATGGCAGAGGCCAGAAGCTGCCGACCCATGGAGGAGGGTCTTAGCGGCCCCGCAGGCTAGGTGGGTGCCTGCAACTTGACGTGGCGGCTCTGGAGGGGTGCGGGGTGGCAGAACATAGTGCGTGGAGGGCTGTGTGGGTGGAGATCGGGGTCAGATGGCAGAGAGGATCGGAGTGGAGGGTCCAGACAGGGGCAAGAGCTGAACATCAGGCCAGTCAGGTGCAGCTCAGGGGCCCATGGGCAGGGCTGGCCGGTCCCTGCAGCCCACCTGTGCCAGGCCAGCTATCGGGTGCCATGCTGGGGCTCAGGTCCGCAGAGAAAGCACTTTGCAGATGGACAGTCTCCTCCTCCTGGAGAATCTGTGGCAGGAGGACATGGCGGCCCCAATGGAGCCCCGGAGGTGAGGGGCAGGTGCTGTTAGCAGCCCCCTGGCCCCGGCAGCTGGGGCCACATGCTGGCTCATAGGCTCTGGAACGGGGGCGTTTGGGGGCCCTCTGCCTCCCAGCTCAACAGGTTTTGGCAGGTTTCCAGGGCATGGGAAGATTATGGCGCTGCTGAGACCCCAGTAGCCAGAACCCGACTCCTAAGCGCTGCTGGGGGGATGTGTCTGCATACGACCACTGGCCCTGGTGCGGCCAGGCCTGGTCAGCATGACCGGGAAGCCGACAGGCATGTTTATAAGCAATGCTGGCTACCTGAGTGTCACTCTGTGGGATCCCAGGAATGCCCCTCCCCTGTACTGTGTGAGAAGCACCCACACCCACCTGGCGGTTCACAGAGACCCACGGGGCTGCGGGAGGCAAAGCTAAGAAGAAGGTCATGTCGAAAGCTCTGTCTACCTGCTCCCCAAACTACATCCACAGTGAAACAAGGTCCTCGTCCCCAGGCTCCTGCTCGGAAGCCGCGGGCTCACCTTGCAGGTGGATGACCTCAGGTGAGCTAGAATCTCTCTGCTGTCCATGCCTCGCTGGAGGAGGTAAGTGCTGCATATCTGAAAGCAGGGACAGAGGCCACACGTCCTGACACAGAGGCACACGGCAGCTCGGCCACCTCTCCAGCGCTGCAGAGGGGCACCATGCTGGACAGGGTCCGTCAGTGCGCGGCGGCAGGTAGGAGGGACTTGTCCAAGGGCACCCCTTCTTGGGCACAGCTGCTGCCTTGGCATTCCGTGCTTCTAGTGGCTGACCTCAGCTGGGAATAGAAACTAAAGAGAATGGCCGCAGCCTCTCCCCAGGCCCCTGCCTCGCTGACAGGCACCTGCATGGTGCTGGGCCACGTGACCTTTCCAGCCTGTCCCTTAAAAACTACAAGAGAGGTGTGTTATTGAACAGCAGCAGAATTAGGGTCAGAATCAGTCACATACACACACAGCATGGACCCAAGGCTGCACCCTAGAAAATGAGAAGACTTCTGTAAGTGATTACAGTTAACATGATTTGTCCCTGGCTGGCTGGAGCCCTTTATGGCCTGACAACCAGGCGGCGGCTGCCTGTAGGGTCAGGTCGGCTGTGGCTCTGCTGTGTGCCAGGGCCTTCGGCCAGACACCTGCGCCCCCATGCCCCTGCAGGGGACACGCTGGCACCCTCATCAGGACGGGCGCTCAGCGGCCCGAAACGCAGCCTCCCAGCACTGGTGCTCCGCAAGCTCAGCCTGATATTTGGGGACAAAAATGTCACTGATGACAATGTTCTATTTTTCATCTAGGCTTTTGGTCAGTATTGAACAGAGGACAAAGGTTCTTCTTTTAAAGACACCAAGTAAGGGGACTTAGATACCTACACCATCCGTACAGGCCCACAGCTGGCAAAAGCCATGGCTGAGCCCCTAGAAGACAATGGTGCCACCCCAGCCTGACCGGCCTAGCACAGCTGCTGGTGGCCAAAGTCCCGGGATGGGGAGTCCCTTGGGCCACCAGTCAGAAAAGCTCTGGGCCATCAACAGAATTTACTGTGCATTCCACCCAACACCTGGCAGGTGTGCCGACCTCCCTGTCTTAGGGGTGTACTCAGGGCTCAGGCCTGCGTGTCCCTCTGCCCCTTTGAGATGTACGTGTGTGTCTCCCACAGCCCAGGAATCGTCCAGGGGCCTGTCCTGTCCCTCTGAGGTGTGGCTATCAGGAGGGGGGTGCAGTGTCCCATGCCCAGGGCACTGGTCAGCAGTGTGCCTACATTGACTGGCCCTCAAAGGCCTCCACTCACCGGGCCCTCCTCTAGCCTGCCTGTCACCTGAGGGCATCTGGGATGGACGGAGCCCTGTCCTCCGCAGCAGGGCCTGGGCGGGGTCTCACCATTGCAGCTCCTGTCCACCTGGTCCCAGCCTGGGGCACCTCGCTCGGTAGAGCAGGCCAGAGGCCCACAGATGCAGCGCTTGCCCAGGCCGCCCCAGGTCCCTGCCCCAAAGCTGTCCCTGCACCTGGCTGCATTTGTCCTCCCTGCTAGAAGGTCCCATGGCCTCCCGACCACCGAAGCAGTGGCAAGCCACAGGGCAGGTCCCCCTGGGAGGGGACCAGGATGCGGCCCACTGGCCTCCCACCCTCTCCTACCCAGCCTGGAGGGAGCAGATGGGGACGGGAGCTGGGTGGACCCCACAGGAGGTGTGGGGATATGGGGCATGGGGGACGCTCTGCTCCCTTCTGGCAGGGCCTGAGGCAGGGGTCCGGGCTGGCCCCGGGACCCTTTCCTCCAGATGGGTGGGTGTGCTGGAGACGTGGGGGTGGCCGGGAGAGCAGACCTGAAGCCCATGCCTTCCCTGCCCAGCATGGCCCTGCCTAGCTGCCCACTTGCCACATGGTTACCTTGATGACCTCAGCTGCAGACGGCCGCTCCTGGGCACTGCATCTCGCCATGTCCAGCAGGAGGGCTTTGAGCCTGCGAGGCAGGACCAGTTTGCGGCCTCGGGGGACGGTGAACTTGGCTGCCATCCACAGGACTGCAGCCACACAGTACACGGAGGCCTGGGTGGAGGAGGAGATGCTGGCATACTCAGAGCTGCCCCCACTCCAGGCACCCCCAAGGGCACCTGGGGCGTGTGCCCACAGAACCACGGCTGTGGGAACCCTGCCGGGCACTTCCTCAGAGCCCGGAGGCCCCACCACAGACCCCACGTGTTGCGTCCCCACGGGCATGGCCAGGGGGTCTGCATGTCTACAAGTGTCCACAGGGCTCGAACACTCCAGAGTGAGCAGCTGGACCGTCCCACCTTGCAAACTTCTCAGGAATGTGGCGGCTGCAGTTCAGGGCAGTGGGAGGTCTGAGGCCAAGTCCCTCTGAGCTAGTGCTGTGCTGCTAAGTGGTAACGACAGGCTCTCTGAGCAAGAAAGCGTGCCTGTGCACACGCAGGTTTGCTGCGAATCTCATGGAGGTCAAGGAGGCAGAGCGCAGTTTAGGAGGAAGGACGGGATGGCGCTCTGTATTAAAGTTCCACACAGTCAACTGATTCTCACTGGACGCTCTCACTGGCCCGGACCCGTGGCTCTGACGTGCTTGTTTCTGTCTGGTATTTTTGTTCATGTCAGTAAGCAGGACGAAAGTGAAAGGGGAGATGCGCACTGGGGCTTCGCTCGCTCCGGCGCGGCTCTGCTGAACCAGATCACAGCGGTAGGACACAGTGGCCCGCAGCCACGGCTGCACACAATGGTGGGTCAACTGCATTTCTGACGTTTCCTCCATTAGGTGCAGACAATGGGCCAACATAAACCAAGCCCTGGGTTTAGCATTTGCTGACTCCACGGTGTGAACACTGCCACATGGCCGACGTCAGGCTGCAAGGAGGTGCAGCGGACCCGGCGGGGAGACAACTGTACTTACACACGCAGCCCTTAGACACACAGAGGCCCCATGTTCCTGCCCAGCTTCCCACAGCAGGAAGTCCTACAAGGCTGGGCCAGCGCCACGGCCAGGACATGCACACTGACGTGGTGGAGGTGCAGGTTCTGGCCCCAGCAAGCCTCCTGTTCCCTCGTAACCCTTCCACTGTAACCCCTGGCAACTCTAATCTGTTTTTCACTTCTGCAATTTTGTGGTTTCCTGTCCAGGGAATTGATCGGCTTTTTCCCTCAGCCTGACCGTCTGCAGGTCCATCCAGGGCGTTGCCTCATCAGCGCCCTGTTCCTCTTTCTGCTGAGCACCTGCGGTATGGGTGACCCCCAGCTTGTCTGGCCGCTGAAGATCACCTGGTTTGTTTCTGGCTTGGGGCTGTGATGAATGAAGCTGCTATAAACGTTCACGTGCAGGATTCTGAGTTTCATTTCTCTAGGATAAGTATTGGGACTGCAGTGTCTGGTTGTACGGTAGTTTTATAAGAAGCCACCAAACCGTATAACGAAGGCCGAGTCACTCCACCCTCCCACCGGCAGCGAGCCGAGCCCCTGGTGTCCTGCATCCTCACCAGCACTTGGTGCCAGGGTTCTGCATTTTAGCTGCTCTAATGAGTGTGCAGTGGGGTCTCCTGGCTTTAATTTGCATTTTCCAAATGCCACAGGGAGTCAATCATCTTCCGTAGCTCATAAGCCCATACGACACCTCCTGTGGGGGTGTCTGTTCAGATCTTCTGCCCACTGTTACCTGGGTTGATTGCTTTCTTACCTTAATATTGACTTTTAAGAGTTCTTTCTATACTTGAGATACAAGCCCTTTATCAGATGTGTGTTTTGAAGGTATTCAAATACCTATTTCATATTGGATGAGTTATGGTAGTTTGTTTTTTGAAGAATTGGTCCATTTCATCAAAGTTGTTGAGTTTGTGTGTGTAGATTGTAGAATTCCATTACTCCTTCGATGTCTGCAGAGTCTGGAGGGGTATTCTGCGTCATGCCTGATATTGGTAATTTGTGTCTTCTCTTTTTTGCTTTATCAGTTTTGTGAGAAGTTTGTTAATTTTATTGGTTTTTTCCAAGACCAAGAACCGGCTCTTCATTTCATTGGTTTTCTCTATTATTTCTATTTTCATTGACTTCTGCTCTCATCTTCACTATTTCCTTCCTTCTGCTTTGGATTTTTTTTTGCCCTTCTTTTTTTAGGTTCTTGAGGTAGAACTTAGATATTGAGTTGATATGCTGCCTCTTTTCTAACATACACATTCAGTGCTATGAATTTTCCTCTTGGCCTCACATTGGCTGCGCCCCACAGTGTCAGTGCTGGCATCTACTGATTCTCTTTTTTCATTTGGTTTGAGATCTTCCTGGTTCTTGATACGGCAAGTGATTTTTTGACTGAAACCTGGGCACTTTCATGTTATGAGACCTTCTGTTTCCTCCAGCTTTCTCTTGCACCATGCTGGCAAGAAGGAAGCATGTCATTATTGCCGGTGGGGCCCGAAGTCCAGGTTCCCCACTGGCCCCAGTGGACACTAAAGAGGGGGCTCCAACTCACTGCTGGGCAGGCGTGGGAGTTTCAGCTTCCTGCTGGACCTCCACTGACAGCCTCTCGCTGGTGGTGGGGGTGGAGGGGCATAAGAATGCTCTTCACTGCCCCCTGCCTGCCTCCTCTGGCACCACGGTGGGGGCAGGGTGGGGCACCTTGCTGCTGCTGGGGGATGGTAGGAGCCCCAGCTGTCCAGGAGGCTGCCTCTGACACTGCCCCAGCTGGGAGGGGCATTTGTTATTGGTGGGTGGGGTGGTGCCAGGCTTCCCACGTGTGCTTGCTGACCTCATGGAAAGGGTCCTTGCTGTGGGCTGATGGGGATGCTCAGCCTTCTCTGACACCACCTGTGGGGTCTTTACAGGCCTTCTTTTAAGCTGGCTCGGGAGTGCAGGCTTTGGCTTCTGTCTGTGTCTACTGGCATTTCCCAGTTGCAGCTTCTTCAGTCTCCATGTATGGGGCAGAAAGAAAGTGTGTTCCCTGGGCCAAGGCCCCCGGTCAGGCTGCCCTCTGCCCTCTGCACAGAAGTCACCCCACACCTGTCTTGGGAATGGTGTGAGGGGTTTCTAGATGTCCTCAGAGGAGCAGAGAAGTTGCATTTCCCCCACCTTCTCAGAAGCACTTCTACCTTGGTTTTGAATATAATTTCCTTAATTGTAAGTTTGTACATTTTAATTTTTAGTAAGTGCCTTGTAAATATTCCTGGAAATTTAGCCATGGGCTCTCCTGAGCCAGGACGTGCTGCCTGGACCTGTCTACGCTGAAGTCCTCTTTGGATGACATCACCAGAGCCGACCTCATCACCCGTGAGGGGAGCACCTGCCAGGTGGGTGCAGCCCAGGCCAGCTGATCTGGGGCCCTGGGCACGGACGCTGCCTTCGGGGCCTTTCTGACTCCCCCTGAATCATGACGTCTGCTCATGCTTCTCCCCCACCCCTCGGGTGCTCTGGACAGAGGGGGTGGGCAGCACTGAGGGTGGGGGAAGGAGGCTGGGGAAGGGGTGAGGAAGGGTCTGGGAAGGGTCAGGGGCCCCAGTCACCTTTTCAGTGACCAGCCTTTGCTCTGCTGCCTCGGGAGCCAGGAAGAAGGAGTTGCAAGCGCCTAAGAGAGAAGAACCCGGCTGAGCTCTCCTTCCTGCCTCACTGTGGGCACTGGAGGCTGGCCCGGGTGACCCCGCATACACACCATTGGCTGGGGGCGGCCCGAAGATCACAGCCCCGTCCTCGGCCACCAGCACCGAGTCCAGACACAGGTAGGCTGCAGCGGAAGGGGGGTCAGGGCACCACACTCGCTGTGTGGACGCTGCTCTAGGGCGGGCCACCCTGTGGCCCTGGGCCTCCAGGGGCCGCCCAGACAGCAGGCCCACTGGGCACAGCACACTGGCTCAGTCTCCACCCCTCCCCAGAGGCCCAGGCAGGCTGCCAGGTGGACAGGCATGGAGAGCAGCCCTGAGCCAGCCTCCCACCCCCTAGGGCTGCCACTACAGCCACATCCAGCTGGAGAGGGACGGGAGGTGAGGGAAGGGGAGGGTGGGGAGCACCAGCCCACTGCCCAGCACTGCCCTGGGGGGGGGTGTCCCAGAGGGGGCTGGGGGCCGTGGCCACGGATCACAGGCTCTGGGCAGCCAGGTGGCGCTCCTCCTCATTGGCCCCCTGTGGCGCCCTCCTCCTGGCACCCTCCCCGGGACACCCTACTGTTAGAGGGGCTGTAGACCTGTCACACTATCGGGCAGCATTGGGGTTTGCGGTCGACAACAGAGTAAATGTCCCAGATCCCTCAGCCAGTTGCCACCTCCTTGGGACAGTGCTGCCCTGTTGAGGACTGTGGGCCAGCCACGCAGCCCCTGCCCTCCTTACAGCAGGGCCGCCTGCTCTAAAGCCGACATTTCAAGCACCTGGCCCCTGCTGCTCCCCAGGCCTCAAGTCCCTGGGACCGAAGCAGACACTCCCCGGGCCCCGGCTCAGCACGGCCACTTCCACCCAGCCCAGCACAGCCGGTGGAGGCCACGTGGCCCCTTGGCGCCGGCTCGGAAGGGTCACCTGGGTGCTGGCTGTGCTTGTGCAGATTGCTGAGGCAGGCATGGGACAGAGCCCACAGCTCGTACTCCTTGAAGGGCCGGCCCAGCTTGGACAGGAGGTCCTGCAGGGAGATGCCCTGGGGAAGGAGCTGTGGGTCAGTCACAGGGGCAGGCGGGCTCCGTGCACATCTCAGGAGGGATTTACAGCGATGGCGACAGTGAGGACCCCTGTAGGCACCAGCACATTCCCGGCCAAGTGGCTGGGCAGCGTCACACATCCAGCAGCAGGTGTGGGGCCTGTGAGGCTTGGGGACCCAGTGCATAGCCACTCGGATGTGACACGGTGCAGCTGTGGGAGTGGCACAGAGGCTCCTCAAAGAGTTTAACAGAATTACTGTGCAAGACAGCGATTCCACTCTGGGAGTGCAGCCAAAACACTAAAAGCAGGGGCTCAAGTTGGTATCTGCACACCCACACTTGCAACAGCATTATCCAAAAGGCTTGTGTGGGGATGACCCCAGTGTCCATTGGTGGGCCCTGGACAGACACGAGGTGGCCTGCCCACACGCTGCCACTCTGACGCCGGCTGAAGCGTGGACAAGCCCACATAGGTGGGCCACCGGTTCCCTGATGGCTTTGCCCTGAGGAGCTCACAGGGACAGAGGTTCAGGGAGTGACTTGCTGGAGCCAAGTGGGACAGCAGGCTCACCAGTCTTGGCCCAGGACTGGCAGCTGCCATCTGCTCAGTGCTGGTGGTCATGCGGAACACACCCCAGACCTCCCAGAGCACCGGTCCTAACAGAGTCCTCTGTCCCTTACAGCTGATGGGGACACTGCACCGAGTCTGGGACACCCTGTCCTGGCAGCCGTATAAAATCCCAGCATCAATGAGGGCCTTTCCTGGGGCTTTCTCATCTGAAGGTTGACAGGTGATCCACTTCAGCCCAGCGTTTGCTTCTGTCTTTTAGAACAATCAGAAGAGGACGCTGCTGCAGCTGCCCAGCACCAGCACTGGGGAGGCAGAGCCCAGAACTGGCCTGCTGGGGCCACTGACCCCAAGGCACCATGTGCCTCGTTCAGTGGGTATGTGGGGCAGGGTGCTGGTGGGGCCTGGGTTGGGTGGGGGCTGGGGTTGGGGTGCTCTTTGGGACGATGGTCCACTTCCAGGGAGGCTGAGGGAAGGGGCTCTGACCCGGGCAGCTTGCTTAAAACTTGCAAATCATTAAGCAGGTGTGAAGGCTGAGGCTGCCTTCCTTGTAGTAAATGACCAGCATTGAACAAGAATTTGAGCCTGCAGGCCCCCCCACCCCCCTGAACGCACGGGCACTCACCTGCTCTGTGGCTGCGTTCTCCAGTTCCCTGGCTCCCTCTGGGATTCCCTTGTCAGCCCTGGGGGTCCTGGGGTCTGCGTCTTGAGGGGCTTCAGAAGGGAGCGGGGGGCTTTCCTTGGTGGGGCTCTGGCCCGACGCCCCCGCTCCCCGGTCCTCGCTGTGGCTCGCGCCTCTGGCCCTGGCCTGCTGAGGCTTAGGCTGCAGCTCCAGCCGCGGTCCGGCCTTGGGCTGTGCCTTGAAGCTGCAGAGGCCATCTGTCCCCTCCGGAAGTTCCTTCCTGGGGTCTGGAGGGGTGGGTTTGGGTGCAGGCTGCTGGCTTTTCGTGCTGGCCAGCGTGAGGCAGAGCGCTCTGGTCTCGGGGCTCTCAGGCGGGAGCCTGGGGAAGGTCTGCACTTTCCTCAGGCGGCCCCCCTCCAGGAAGCCTCTGTCCGGGTCGCCTGGGGGGCGCTGCGCGTCCAGGGTGCTCTCTCTGTTTTCCATGGGGGCTGACAGAAGAGGCTTGGTGGATGGAGCTGGGGAGTGCTCCAGGGTGGGCGGGAACTCTGGGCCAATGGCGTGGGCGCCCGGCTGCCTCTTGGGGCCCCCGCTTCTTGGAGCAAGGCTCCCCCTCCATGTGTTCTCGCTGACCTCTGGGTAAAAGAAGGCGTGGTTACTGAGGGCTGTGAGCCCAGGCAGGGGCTGTCTTGCCCGTGCCACCCCTGAACCCCACTTCTGCAGGGCCCCGGCCCTCCACCCACCAGCAAAGACCCTGAGCACAGGGCCTCCCAGGCGCCCAGCCCTCGGGACTGGCCCAGAAACCCCCCCTGCCTCCTCAGTGGCACGCTGCAGCCAGCCTCAGCTCCCCACGGGGGCTTCCTAAGCCCAGCGAATGTTCCCCACATGGTGCGCTGCTTTCTAGCACAGCGACAAAGAGCCGTTCTCCAGAGCAGATGGAGTCTGGCTGCAGCACACCCCGTCCCGGCACAGTCTTCCACACACGTGTCCCTGTGTGAGTGGCTCTGGAGACCCAGGGCCCCTCCTGCGGTGGCCCGTGCTCCGCTTTAGCGCCTGCCTGTCAGCTGTTAGGGCCGCGGCGGTCGCCTGGTGCTGTGGCTCCACAAACATTGACTTGTGGGAAGTGGGGGCATGCTGGGTGGGAGGGCTTCTCTGCTGCCTCCTCTGGGGGCCTCTGGGGTCCTTGCTGCAGGCACAGCACAGAGCAGTTGCCAGAGTCCCACGTGAGCATGAAAACCCCAGACCGTCCCCAATGGTGGGCATGGTGGGCCTACCAGACGCTGTGAGGTGATGGCAAATGAAAATGAAATGTGGGCAAGAGACTCAGAGACTAAGCAATGACTGTCCCCTTCAACCACTTCCCAGCGTGACCTTGAGTGTCACCTCCAACTGTGCAAGCATCTGCCAGACTCACACTGTCCGTTTGTGTGCACGTCTGCATATGTGTTTGTGTGCATGTGGGACAGTGTGTCCATTGTGTGTGTGCATCTGTGTTTTTATGTGAGTGTGCACGTGTGTGTATAGTAGAAGTAGGTGTGTATGAGTCCACACATGCATGTTCATGTGTGTGACTGTGAAGGAGGACATGTGTGCATGTGGGGCACACACGTGATCACATCTGTGTGCATGTGCATGTGGGCATTTGCATGCAGTGTGAATACACTGCCATGAGCATGTGTGTGTGATCTGTGTTAACGCTGTGTACAGTTATGTGTGCATGTGCGCATCCATATGCATATGCCTGTGCATGCAGGCCTGCACATACGTGTGCACATGCTTACCCTGAAGCGCTCCGAAGGACTCGATGGAGAGCACCCGCCTCCCGACGGCTGAGAGGCTCCGGCACAGATGGCAGGATGTGAGCCGTGTCTTCTCTTCGCACAGCGCGATGATGCTCTGCAGACGCACGTACGTGCAGCTCAGATGTGGGAGCTGTCCGTGGAGGCAGCCCTGCCCTGCGAGAGACCCCCACTCTCCCACTGTGTCTATTTTCTGGTGTAAAAAGTGGTGCATCCTGGGGTTACAGCAAACCAGGAGATTCTGTTTGCCCCATGAGTTACAAGCTAAACCTCTTCATAACAAAAACATATAATAAAAAAGTCAACTTCTTACTTAAACAAAATGCAATGTCACCAAATCACAGATGAGGAGCCATGTGATGGAGACAGTGGTGGTGGGGCAGGAGGGCCCTGCGTGTGTGCTGGGTGTGTGCGTGTGCACGCAGGCATTGGGCTGAGGTGAGGGGTGAGTGTACCTCGAGGTCGGGACGGTCCCCAGGGTCCTCTGCCTGCATCTGGCCCAGCAGCGCCTCCAGGTCTCTGCTCAGCCTGGGCTCCTGCTCTGGCTCAGCCACATACTCGAGGGCAGCTTTCAGCGTGGCCCCCAGGGAGTAGATGTGAGCCTGCAGCACCAAACAGCCCATTAGTGCCGCAGAGCACGGCCTCGGATGGGATGCACCCATCCCCACAGTCACTGCTCCTCTGGCCAGGAACCTGCATTGTTAGGGACCACACCACACAAGAACATGAAGGCGGCACCTTCCCCACCACAGAGAGTCTCCCGGCACCAAGGCAGCTGCCCCACTCCCATCTGTGTCTGTGCTGGCCCTTGCAGCTCACTCGGCCCTGCGCCCAGGCATGCGGACACCCGGAGCCCCTCTCCCAAAGGCCGCCGCGCCTCCAAGGGCAGGGCCTTTTCTTCGGTGGTGTGCTCTTCTGCAACTGGATTTGAGCAGGAGGAAAGGCGTGTTTTCCAATTTTCCAACCCACACACGTTGGGAGCGTGGGCTCCTCACATCGTGCATGCCGGGGTGGGCCATATCCGAGGCCGTGGTCCCTGCCTGGGGGCTGGCAAGGGCCACTGTCGCTCCCCGTGGCTGGGCGTCGGCTGACCTCACTGCCTTCTGCCTCATCTCACAACAGTGTTGCTGGGACCTTATCATCCCCACTTTACTGACAGGGAGCTGAGCCCAGAGAGGCTCAGGACCCTGCCCAGGGCCACCCAGCCAGAGCCAGGCTGGGAGGAGACCCCCAAGAGGCAGGTCACACAGCTCCTGGCCCACCTTCCTGGCCCCGAGCACCTTCCCGGGTGAGTTCCCTGCTCCAGACCCTTGCTGCCCACTAGGTCTAGAGTCGAGTCAAGGTGGGCAGGAGTTGTTGGTCACCCGGCTGAAACGCCCTGCTCCCGACCTGCCAGGGTCTCAGGTGCTGGGCATGCAGCGGTCTGTCCCCTCCGTGCTTACCCTCACCACTCAGGGCGTTTCCCATGTTTCGTAACAGATGCTTCAGTGGACGTCCTTGAGCGGAGGCCATTATGCACCTGTGTAACGCTCATGAGGCCCAGTCCCAGCAAGTGGGGTTTCTGGGTTGCACCCACTTACAGTTTTGACAGCTGCTGACAGACTTCCCTCCCCCGTGACTGGAGAACTTAGGCCTGCCTGGCCGTGCGTGTGAGGCCACGTTGCCCCCACCCCCATGCCTGCCACCTCTGCAGCTTTACCAGCCTCTTAGGGGAAATGTGTCTCCTGGTAATTTGCATTTCTGTAATTATGAATGAGATGGAGCATCTGTTCATCTTCATCTGCTGTTTTAATTTTTCCTCTTTATGCCCATTCATGGACTTAGCTAATTTCTCCACAGAGCTGTCACCTGTTTGGGGTTCACTCTTGGTGCATCAGGGGGCTGACCCTGACCTGTGTGTCACACACATGTCCTCTCCGTCTATCACTTACTCTGTTAACTCTGTTCATGTGTCTTTTGACATTCAAAGAGTATGATTTTAATTTATGAAACTGGATCATTTTTTTCTTTAGCAGATTCTTTGGAGGCCCTCCCTCCCCGAAGATGGATAAAAACAGCCTTCTTTGTCCAATACCTTTGTAATTTTTAAATGCATAGCTTTGACCTGGCTGAAGTATGCCCGTGTGCCGACCCACTGTAGCCATCTGGGCTTGTCTCCTTCTGAGGAAGGCGGATGCCGGCAGCGCGGAAGAAGGTGCCACCCTCTGCTGGCTGAACTGCGCCTGCACTGCCCTGCCCTCCCTGGGGTCCAGGTGCTGGCCCCCCCTTCTCCGCTTGCGCTGCTCTGTGTGTCTTGCCGTCGGCCTGGATGATGCCGTTTTAGTTACAGTAGCTTCAGCGTGTATTTTCTCTCCCGAGAACAGGTTGCTCTTCATTTTTTTCCAAAAAGTCTGATTATTTACACATTTCTTAGGTTTTAAAAAGCAAACATAAGTTCCCCCATTCCCATTCAAAAAATAAGCCAAAAAGTGGTTAGGATTTTATTGCAGAATTTGGGAAGGACCAATGTCTTACAAAATAAAATACTTAGGATGTCAACAAGATGGCTGCATAAGAGGTCCTAGATTCTATCCTCCCTCAACAATTTGGCATCCATCCACGGACAAAAGCAGGGGCTGTAAAACCCAGCGCCTTGCAACAGGGGACTTTGCAGAAGTCTCCCCCCTCTGTGTGTCAGGTAGTGGGCAGACAGACCTCAGGCCTGGCTGTGGATCCTCTAGCTAAACTGACTAGGGAAAAAGAGAGGACTCGAATAAATGAAATCAGAAATAAAAGCAGGGATATTACAACTGATATCACAGAAATACAAAGGATCATAAGAGACTACAATGTGCAATTATATGCCAACAAATTGGATAATCTAGAAAAAAAATGGATAAATTCCTAGAAATATACAACCTACCAAGACTGAATCATGAAGAAATAGACAATCTGAACATACTATTAGCAGTAAGGAGATTGAGTCAGTAATAATAAACCTTCCAAAAAATAAAAACTGAGGACTAGGTGGTTTACCTGGTGAATTCTACCAAATATTTAAGAATTAATACCAATCTTTCTCAAATTCTTCCAAAAAACTGAAGAGGAGGGAACAACTCCAAACTAATTTTACAAGGCCAACATTATCCCAATACCAAAGCCAGGTAAGGATACTATAAGAAAAGAAAATTATAGAGCAGTATTCTTGATGAATAAAGATACAAAAATCTCAACAAAATATTAACAAACCAAATTCAAGAGTACATTAAAAGGACCATATACTATGGTCAAATGCGATTTATCCCTAGGATGCAAGGATGGTTTAACACATCAATAAATGTGAGCCACCACATTAATACAATGAAAGATAAAAATTACATGATCATCTCAATAGACACAGAAAAAGCACTTGATAAAATACATCTTTTCATGATAAAAACTCAACAAATTGGGTATAAAAGGAACATACCTCAACATAATAAAGGCTGTATATGACAAGCCCATGGCTAACACTGTACTCAGTGGTGAAAGGTTCAAAGCTCTTCTTCTAAGATCAGGAACAAGACAAGACTGCCCATTGTCACTGCTCCAACTAACACAGTACCGGAAGTGAGCCACAGCAATTAGGCAAGAAAAAGAAATAAAAGGCATCCAAACTGGAAGGGAAGAAGTAAAATTGTTTCTATTTGCAGACGATGTGATCTTATTTATAGAAAATACTAGACTCCACCAAAAAATCTCTTAGAACTAATGAATTCAGTAAAATTTCAGGATACAAAAATCAGCATACAGGAATCGGTTGCATTTCTATACATTAATAGTGAAATAGCTGAAAAAGAAATGAAAACAATCCCATTCATCATAATCGATAAAAAACAATAAAATAATTAGGAATAAATTTAACCAAGAAAGGAGCTGAATGACCGATACACTGAAAAGTACAAGATTTTGATGAAAGAAATTGAAGACATAAATAAATGGAATGATATCCCATGTTCACAGTTCAGAATAATTAATATTGTTAAAAGTCCATATTACCCAAAGCCTTCTGTAGACTAAATACAATCTCTATCAAAATTCCTGAGGCATTAGGCACAGAAGTGGGAAAAAACAACCCTAAAATTCATATGTAACCACCAAACATCCCAAATAGTCAAAGTAATCTTGAGAAAGAAGAATAAAGCTGGAGGCATCACACGTCCTGATTTCAAACTATACTACAAAGTTACAGTAATCAAAATAACATGGTACTGGCATAGAAACAGACACACGAGTCCATGGAAAGGCTAGAGCCCAGAAACTAGCCCCTGCATATACAGTCAACTAACATTTGACGAGGGAGCCAATAATACTCAATGGGAAGAGGGTAGTTTCCTTAATAAACGGTGCTGGGAAAACTGGATGGTCACATGCAGAAGAAAGAAACTGAACCCCTATCTTACACCACTCACAAAAATTAACTTGAAATGGAGTAACAACTTAAGCATAAAACCCCAAACCATAAAAATCCTAGATGAAAACAAAAGGGAAAAGCCCTTTGACAGTGATCTAGGCAATGATGATTGGCTATGACACCAAAAGCATATGCAAAAGAAAAAACAAGTAAGTGGAACTACATCAAACTAAAAAGCTTCTGCTCAGTGACAGAAACAATTTAAAAAATGAAAAGACAACCTACGGAATGGGAGAAATTATTTGCAAACTATCTATCTCATAAGGGGTTAATATCCAAAATATAAAAGGAACTCAATAGCAAAAAAACTAATCTGATTAAAAAATGGGCAGAGAAACTGAATAGACATTTTTTCAAAGAAGACATACATATAGATGATAAATAGTACATGAAAAGATGTTCAACACCATTGGGAGATGCAATCAAAACCACAGTGCCATATACCTCACACCTGTCAAAACAGCTGTTCTAAAAAAGACAAGGGACAACAAGTGCTGGCAAAGATGTGGAGAAAAGGAACCTCATGCACTGTTGGTGGGGGGTGTAAACTGGTACAGCCACTGTGAAGTGCAGTGTGGGGGTTCCTCAGAAAATTAAAAATGTTGACTACCATGTGATCAGGAATCCCACGTCTGGGTATGAATCCGAAGGTGGCGAAATCAGGATCTCAGAGAGACACCTGCACCTCACTGCAGCCTGATTCACAGATGTCAAGACGTGGAAACAACCAGGTGCTGTTGATGGATGAATGGATATGAAACATGGAATAGAGGTACATGGGAACACTGTTCAGCCACATGAAAGAAGGATGGTGCTGAAGGCATTATGCTGAGTGGAATAAGCCAGAGAAAGACAAATACTGTGATGTCACTTATATGTGGACTCTACAAAAGCTGAACTCACAGAATCAGAGAGTAGAATGGAGGTCACCAGGGGCTGGGGTGAGGAAATGCGGAAATGTTGGTCAAAGGGCTTTTGGTTATAAGATGAATGAGTTCTTGACATCTAATACACAGCATGGTGACTGCAGTTAACAATATTGTATTACGTACTTGAAGGCTGCTTCGGGAGTAGATCTTAAATGTTCTCGCAACCAAAAAGAAATGGTAATTATGTGAAGGAGGTGTTGACTAACCCTACTTGTAGTAGAAATCATTTTGCAAGATATAAGTTTATCAAATCATTTGATTGTATGCCTTAAACTTGCACAATAGTATATGTCTTAATAAAGCTGGAAAAATATACTTAGGTGTAGGGACAGGGTCTGTCCCTAATTTTCTCATGTCTTGTTTTCTCATCTTTAGAAAAATGGTTCACTGTGTTTCCAATCCCTCCTGCTGTATTTACCCCTAGAATTTCTGTAGCTGTTGTGCTATTATAAATAGAACATTTTCCATTTCCTCTCCAGCTGGCAGTTACTAACACAAAGGAAACCAATTTATTTTGGGAGATGTATTTGTTTTCTGCTGGCCTCTGAAGTTTTCTTATTCTGTCATTTCCACTGAAGCCTCTAGAGTTCAGGCCCACAGACTCGTCATCCACAGACAATGCCACCCCACGCCTGCTGCTCACACTGCCCCACGGCGCCCTCCTGTCTGCTCCAGCCCCCGGGGACACGGTGCAGCCACACTGACGGCCCCTGAATCTGCAGCCTCTGCTGCTGTCCCACCTTTCACAGAAGACACTGCAACCCCCAACCCTGGTCCCCATGCAGAGGGCAGCCTGCTCCCCCTCACACACCGACCACCCCAGGTGCCCTTCCTGCATCCCCACATAGCCTACATCCAGCACTTCCTTAAGTCAAACACTTAGGACAGACACTTAAGTCAAACTGCTGCACAGACTCAGGGCAGAAGACTTGTTTTGGGGGCCCTGCTGCGTGCTGATGCTTGGGGTGGAGGAAAGGAAAGCTGTGAGACCCCATCTGCAGGACCCAGCTAAGGCTCTGAGGCGTGAGTGCTGTAGTGAGGTCCCAAGAAAATCATGACTGTGAGAATAAAACCTGGTGGGGTGCCATACCAGCAAGGCAGGGTGTCTTCTCTCCACTCCGTTTCCCTCCAGACACACTGGCATCCATCTATCCAATCATCCATCCGTCCATCCCTCCACCCATCCACCATCCATATGTCCGTTCATCCATCCTTCCATCCATCTGTCCATCTATCCATCCACCATGACATTCTTTGACCACAGCTTGATTCAGTTAAAAGTTAAAATGAAAAGTTTTGTGTATTTGGAAATGGACAAACATTGTGCAGGATGAATGTTCAGGGTACCGTGTGGCATAGATCCTGGCTTGCCATTTTCTCATGTCTTGTTTTCTCATCTTTAGAAAAATGGTTCACTGTGTTTCCAATCCCTCCTGCTGTATTTACCCCTAGAATTTCTGTAGCTGTTGTGCTATTATAAATAGAACATTTTCCATTTCCTCTCCAGCTGGCAGTTACTAACACAAAGGAAACCAATTTATTTTGGGAGATGTATTTGTTTTCTGCTGGCCTCTGAAGTTTTCTTATTCTGTCATTTCCACTGAAGCCTCTAGAGTTCAGGCCCACAGACTCGTCATCCACAGACAATGCCACCCCACGCCTGCTGCTCACACTGCCCCACGGCGCCCTCCTGTCTGCTCCAGCCCCCGGGGACACGGTGCAGCCACACTGACGGCCCCTGAATCTGCAGCCTCTGCTGCTGTCCCACCTTTCACAGAAGACACTGCAACCCCCAACCCTGGTCCCCATGCAGAGGACAGCCTGCTCCCCCTCACACACCGACCACCCCAGGTGCCCTTCCTGCATCCCCACATAGCCTACATCCAGCACTTCCTTAAGTCAAACACTTAGGACAGACACTTAAGTCAAACTGCTGCACAGACTCAGGGCAGAAGACTTGTTTTGGGGGCCCTGCTGCGTGCTGATGCTTGGGGTGGAGGAAAGGAAAGCTGTGAGACCCCATCTGCAGGACCCAGCTAAGGCTCTGAGGCGTGAGTGCTGTAGTGAGGTCCCAAGAAAATCATGACTGTGAGAATAAAACCTGGTGGGGTGCCATACCAGCAAGGCAGGGTGTCTTCTCTCCACTCCGTTTCCCTCCAGACACACTGGCATCCATCTATCCAATCATCCATCCGTCCATCCCTCCACCCATCCACCATCCATATGTCCGTTCATCCATCCTTCCATCCATCTGTCCATCTATCCATCCACCATGACATTCTTTGACCACAGCTTGATTCAGTTAAAAGTTAAAATGAAAAGTTTTGTGTATTTGGAAATGGACAAACATTGTGCAGGATGAATGTTCAGGGTACCGTGTGGCATAGATCCTGGCTTGCCCAGGGAGCTGGCCCCCCAAAGGGCGCCTCTCAGGCCAGGAGAGCCTGTAGCTGTATGTCTACAATGTCAGAAACATGGATAAAAATGGATACAATTTAGAAATATATAGTTTACCAAAAAAGCTGGCTCAAGGAGAAATACAAAACAGATTAATCCTTTAGCTACTAAAAATTGAGCTGCAATTACAATTGTTCCCTCAAAGGAAACAGATGGCTTCCTAAGTGAGTCTGGCCAGGCCGTCAAGGAACAGCGCTGCCTGTGCTCACATGAGCGGAGCAGGGCACAGAGGGGAGGCGCTGACACAGGACTGGGACAAGCCCCATGGCGGGCACCCGAAAGAACAAGGCTGCTGGAATCCACCAGGCTTTTGTGGGAAATACATGGAAGTGCGGACATGGTGGTGTATGAAGAGGGCAAGACACTTGGCCGGCTTAGGTTTTTCTTAGTAAGAAAGGATGATTAAATATTAGAAAAAATCTATGTAAGGATTAACATTTTAATGGTCATTTCAAAGAATGCAGGAGCATTTCATAAAAAAACAACGTGCATTCACGATGGAATGCTCACTGGCACAGAGGGGACCTCATGCAGCTACAGCCAACGACGTCCCGGAGGGCAAAGGGCAGAGAATGCCCCTTTCAGGCTGGGGGAGCCATGGTGTCCCCTGGAGACAGGCCGGCCTGCATGCCACTCCAGCGGGCATCTCACTGCCCCTGGCTGAGGGAGGGCACTGCTGCCCTTCGCTGGTGATGTGATCAGTTAAACAGAAAGACTGAAAGAATCTATAAGCTACTAGAAATAATGAAAGAATTTAGTGAGATGGCTGGATATAAGATCGAGACAGTAAAGTGCATGGCACTTCTGTCGGCTGGGGACGAGCAGGGAAATGCAGTTCATCACCAGGACCATCGAGTCAGAGTAGATGCAGAAAACACAGAATTCCAGAGACAAGCTAATGAAGGACATCCCAGAGTCCTACGGCAGAAATTCAAGTGTCACTGAGACATCAAATAAGACCCAGGTAAATGAAGAGTATAAAGAATTTATAGAGAAGACCATATATTACAAAGATGTGAACTCTCCCAAATTGATCTATAGATTTGGTGCCATTCCAGTCGAAATGCCAACTGAGCATCCTGTGGAATTGATAAACTAATTCTGAAATTGATGTGGAAGAATAAAGGGCTGAGAGCAGTCAGAACTCTTCTGAAAAGGAGCAGAGCTGGCACTCTCCCTGACGAGGCGGGGGGCCTGTGCCCCATGCGGCTCAGCGCAGGGGTGGGCAGACCTCCTGGGCACTGGGTGGGCCAGGGAGCAGGCCTGTCTGCAGCTGTGGCATGTGGCACAAGGTCTGTGCACCTGGCTAGCTGGTAACAGAGCTGGAAAAAGTGGCTATTGGTGTGGAAAAGGTGAGATTGGATCCTCACCTCACACTGTAGTAAAGATGAAATGTGAAGAACAAAGCCTTCCAAGTTGTGGTAGAAGGTTCAGCGAATATGCTGAAGGGGGTCTCATAAGGCACAGAATCGCTAAGGGGAAGGCCAGCTCTGCACCCTGGGCCATGTTAGCTCCGGAAGACAGTCTCATCAGAGGATGGCCTCGCACAGCTTTTCTCGCAGTGTGGTCCCAGGGCGGGCACGATCCTCTCGGGGGCTCTGGGGTGTCCCTCCTGGCACAGCACTGGCAGGCACATGGGGCAGACCCCAGCAGCCTCATGTGACAGCTGAACAAAAGCTGCCCAGGAAGCCTGGCATCCCTGCGGAGCCACATGTTAGACTCACAAACATGTGGCACACTGCCATTACCGTTGCTTTTTGGGGAAAATACTATATTTCATGAAAATGTTGTGTGTGCTAACATGCAGTGGATTTATTGTTTTAGATGAACTGACAGGCAAATATCTTTCACATGTCTTGTTTTCAATCTATGAACAGCAGACACTGTAGATGTGACCTACGTGGACAGAACCTCAGCACTCATCACTTCTGGGAGTGTAGAGGGGTCTCAAGAACCAGAAAGTTTGAGAACCACTGCCTTAAAGAAAGTGTGAACCCACCCAAGGCAGATGGACACGGGGTGTGCACTGGGGCATGCCCCCAGCCCCGCTCTCACTGGCAGGTGCTCAGGGAGCCCTGGGGCTGAGCAGGGGCCTCTCGGAGGCTGTGTGGCATCTGGGGAGAGCCGGCGTGCGGCCGTGCATGCTGGTGAATGATTCTTTCTGGAGCACAGCAGCCACCCATCTGCTGATCCCCTTGGAGAAACCACAGTTCCCTGCCAGCCAACACTAGTAACTTCAAGCACATTTAATGTGTTAAATATAGTAAATTCACACTGTGGAAAACATGTTCTACAACCGTAATGACAGGCGCCTCCGAACCCCAAGCTGGGGCTTGAGCCACCCCACGGGGACCCCGAGTTGGCCACAGGGGACTGTGCCCTACAGACAGCCCCTGTGGGGGCGCCTTGTGCTGGGCGGTGGCTGCTCTGCCCCCAGTCTGTGACCTGCTTTGGGAGGCCCTCACTGCAGCACCCTTTCCTGCGGGAATCCCACATGCTCACCACCCACCTGGTCAAGGTTGGGTCACCTGCTGCCACTTACCTCAAAGGTGTTCCCGGTCACGTCAAACTCTGGAGGGACAAAGGCACCCTCAGGGTCATCTGGGAGGGAACAGAGAAGGCGTCTGATCACACACCCCACATGAAGAGAAAACCCACAAACGAGGAGGCGGCCACCAGGGCCCTGTGGACACGCAGCCCACAGCCTGGCTCGGTCCTCCCAGCCCGCCCGCTGGTGCCCGAGTCCCTGAGGAAACAGCAGGTCAAAAAAGGGAAATGTGGGAAAGTGGGTCCCCAAAGGAGAGAGAGGGGTTTGTCTGCTTCCAGAGAAAGAGTGAGTGGCAGGTTAGGAAGGACACGCGCGCTGTCCCTGGCACAGGGGGGCTGCGGGAACCCGCAGTGGGCAGGACGGTGGTCTCCTGCTCGGGCCATGTCCCTCACCACAGGGCCAGCAGGACCCAGCCCGGGTAGCAGGCCACGGCGCCAGGATCCTCACTGAGCCATCGGGGCTGGTGGTCCCTGGCCTCTCTGGGGGCGGTGGGGCAGTGTGACGGCCCCACCAGCAGCTCCAGCCCTGAGGTTCCGCCCCTCATCCTCCCACTGGAGACCCCATCAGGACTTCCCATAAGCCCACGCTCTGTCTGACAGCCGGGTCCCTGGGGCCCGTCCACGACCCTGTTTGCCCCGCCCGCCGCGCCTCACCGCTGAGCTGCTCCATGAAGCACACATTCCCGCTGGTGTTGAAGGCCAGGGTGTCGGGGGTGATGCACAGCGTCAGAAAGATGGCCGCGTGGGCGATGCTCCTCAGGGACAGGCTGCACTCCAGGCACACGGCCCAGGCCTCCTGCTCGCTGAGGCCACTGTCCCGCAGGGAGAGGATGTCGGCCAGGGACACGTTCTCCTGCCAAGACAGGCCCGGCTGAGACAGGTGTGGGGTCAGGCCCTCTTTACAACCCCAGGAGTGCCTGGCACCACGGAGGGCAGTCTGGGAACGCAGATGCCATGTGCAGTGTTTCAGTGACACCAGGAATGGGCTTGGAGGCAAGGTCTTTAAAAACCTGCAGAAAGTCCCACTGTTCCCTGGATGTAGGAAGCTACTGAGCACCTGGTGGGCAGACCACACAGCTGGGGGCAAGTTCTTGTTCCGGAAGCTGTGCCTCCCTGGGACCTGCTGTGGCTCTGATCCCCTGGCCCCACAGGCTGGCCACACGAGCTTGCGGGCACTCGGTGGGCTGTCACACTTTCAGGTCGTGAGTGGCTGCGGGAGCCCATGGTAGTGAGCAGAGCCAGGGACGAGCCACACTAACACACCTATGACACGGTGGCTGCACAGCTGCCTGGATGCAGCTCCAGGCAGTTCACACGGGGGACCTGCTGGGATTGTCTTTGACACTCACTCACACAGGCACACACGTGTGCGCCAACACCCACAGAGCACCCTGATGCAGTCACACATGCACACACCCCCTCTGCATGCCTGCAGGGACACACACGTGCACAGTTCCCACATTTACTAACATGAAGCACACACACATCACATCCATGTGCCCACATTTCACACAGAGCATACACGCAGCCGCGTAGAGTGCACACACCCTCGCCTACCCACGCACATACTAGTCTCATGCACGTGCACTTGCACACATATCTATACTTCCACCTGAACACTTGTGCAGTCACAAACCCACCATGCACACTCACCCACATACACGCAGAACACTACACACACCCACTCACACACACAGACACCTTAGACCTCAGGGTCCTTCTCTGGCCCGCTGCTCGATGCCCTGGTCATCTGTGTGTTTGTGCGCTCATGCACACTGGCCTACAGAGGGGCGAGAGGTGCCAAGGGAGCCAGGCTGGACCTGGGAGAGGCATGCATGTGGGTTCGGGAAAGGATCTGGGCATGGGGACTTGGAGGGCATGGAGGGGGACGACTGGGAGTTGATGCAGATAGAATGAGCCCCCGGGTCCAGCTTCTGTCTCCCACCAGCACACAGGGCTGTGCTTAAGGCACAGCTGAGCTGCAGGGTCCCACGAAGCCCTTCCCGACTCCTGTCCCAGAATCCCCCACCTGCACTTCAAGGCATTCCCACAGCCACTGGCAAAGGTGTGAAGGGCTGAAACTATGATAGGGAGAGAGTCAGGGCTCTTCCGTGTACACCTTGGCTAGGCCTCCGGGGTTCAGCAAGGTGGGGGGCACACAAGGGGCCGGTGCCTGGTCTGCCCTGCTCTAGGAGACCGGGCACATCCCACCGCTGGCTTCCTCCTCTGAGCTCAGCAAGGGAGCTCCAACCAGGCCAAGTGCTCCCAGGCCCTTCCGGCTCTTTTTGCAGAGGGGCAGGTAGATGGATGAGGGGAGGGCAGCTCACTGGACGCCGGTTCAAATGCAGCTCCCAGAAAAGTGCTCCTGGCCAGAGCCCGGAAATGTGTGCATCCCCTGCAGGAGGGTGGACAGTCTTCAAAGGAGCACCCAGAGTGCCAGGCAGAGCACACATCAGGTGGGTGGTGGGTGGCAGGGACCCCAATGCTGCAGCTTCCAGGTCTCCCTGCTGTTTCTGGAGGTTCAGCCCCAAAGATCCTGATTTGGCTCAATCCGGGGGCCTCTCTGCACTACCCCAGGACTCCCCAAGGCTCAGGGGAGCAGCGGTGCCTGCAGGGCCTGGGTAAAGAGGTGCCCTGTGAGCACATGCACATGCACAGAGCGCACACACACTACCACACACCTACAGTGCACACATGTGCGTGGGCACACACTAACAGATAGCCCAGAGACCCCGTGGCTCGTGTTATTCAGGAGAACGGAGCTGCCTACGATGCAGGCCTGAGCCAGTCCCGCTGTGGGGCCTTGCTGGCACCCGCTGGCTGCAGCCCACATTCCCAGCGAGCCTGCCTGATGGCGCACCTGTTGACTGGGTGAGCTGCCAGGAGGAGGGAGCTCAGGTCAGGCGTGCCCGCAGGGCATCTCACGACCCAGCATGACCTCCTGTCAGGTCCAGGCTGCTCCCTGAGCCCCTGCCCAGTGGGGAGAGGCCTGTAAGCGGGGACGCCCCCAGCATGGGGTGAGAGCACCCAGATGGGGGCACGCTTTGTGACTTTATGGGGTGCATTCCACGGTCCTGAGTCGTTGCTTGCTGTGTGTGGCTGAGGGCCCACTCACGGACAGGGTGATCTCAGCCCCTCTGACACCTGCTGTTGCCACAGGAAGGCGGGATTCAGTGATGCACCATTCCAGACAGAGCTGGGGGATGTTGCTGGTTCTCCTGGCACACCAAGGGGAGGGGGTCCTTCCGAGTGCCCACAGAGCCTGGACCCTGGGCACCAGCCCCTTGGGTATGCTGCTCTGGTCCAGGGGAGGAACCGCCCTCCCTTGCCTGAACCCACAGCCCAAGCAGGGCAGGTGGGTACCTTGGATGAGCCTTGGTTAACGGGCCAGGGATGGCGGGGAGAGATCTGGTGGCATGTGCCAGGCGCTCCAGCCCCCTCAGTCCCCAGCCCCCACCAGAACTCCAGTGATGCCCCCACGGCCACCCTAGTGGGTGGGAGGCATGCCAGAAGTCCCGCACGTCCATGCCCGCCTCCAGAAGGGGCTGCCTGGGGACCCCATGGGCTCTGAGCCTCACTGCCAGCTCCTGTTCCACGGCCAAGAGACACCTCAGCAGGGTGTCCAAGGCTGGATCACAGGAGGCTGTGGCAGACAGCCAGAGGGAGTGGCGTGCTGTGGACAGTAAAGCTGCCGAGGCTCCCAAGAGGCCCTGTCATCGCTGACCAGCCTCTGGTGGGTCCATCTCCTGACCACAGAGCTAGCCCTTCAGGCAGGCCCAGAAGGCCCCTCAAGATCCAGCCTGGCCCATGGGGCCTCACACCCTGCCCCTCGCTGCTCCCCAGCACGGAGCTGCCTGGGGGGCTATGGAGTTGGTCTGAGGAAGGGGACGCTGAAGTCACGTTCCTCGCAGGGCGGGAAGGTGTTGCTCAGACAAACTCCATTCTCCATCCTGGCTGGGAGAGGGGGTCTGGGAGGCAGACAGATGTGCCCCCTCCGAGCAGGCGGCTCCCCAGGGGAGCCTGTCTTTAGCCAGCCCGCGGGTCCCAGGAGGCAGGACCAGCCTCCCACCTGGGAAACCTTGTGTGGTGACTGCAAAGTGCCTGCTCAGGAGCTTCTGTGCCTGCAGGACGCCTCCCGCTCAGGGACAGACCATGAGCCAGGGTTATACGGGGGCCCACAGGGACCCCCGCATGGCTTCACATTTCAAACATACTCTGTCATTTAATTTTTTAACCTCGGCACATTCTCACAGCGGCTGCCAACACACAATGTGATCACTGCTGAGAACATTTGCTGACAGTCCCACTGGCAGGTTCCTCCAGGCTGCCAGACCCCAGGCCCAGGCAGCTCTGCACATGCCCAGCGGGGGGTGCCTGCTTGCCCGAAGTGCCCCCACCGCGGCCCAGAGCCACCCCGCTACTGCGAAGCTCTCCAGCTCTCCAGCTGCCTGTGGCTGGGAGCCGCTTGGGCACAGACGTCATGCGCCCCTCCCCTGGGAGGGCACAGTGGGAATCCGAATTCATCACAGGGCACCGCCCAGCCTCCTGTTCCTCTAGGCGACAGGGTGTCCATCCACGTTCAGACCCGAAGCCCAGCCCAGCCCAGGGCCGGACCCAAGATGCTGGGAGGTGCGCCCTGCACTCAGGAGGGATAGGAACATTCCCTAGCCCTCTGGGGAGCCTGGGGACCAGGAGACACCCTGCCCTGATGCCCAAACCTGTGCACGACCTTGTCTCTAAGCCTGCCCTTGTGGTCGCCCCAGAAGGCCCTGAAGGCCAGAGGCACTGTCTGCCTTTCCACTGCCTGGCATCTGCCTCCTGCAGCTGCTGGCTCAACCGGGCCTGTCCTCTGCCTGTAGGTGGCCAGGACTGGCCCAGCTGTGACCTCCAGGCCCTGTGGGGCTGTGCAGATCCACTCACTGGGGACCATGAGAGCCTCTGGCTCAGAGAGCTCAGGCATGTGCCCCACGTACCATGGCATGTGCCGCCGGAGCCTGCACCCACACAGTGCGGCCATCGTCCACGTCACTGTTAGGTGCGGAGCCATTCTCCACAGGGGCGCTGCCACTGTGCTGGTCCCCACCAACTTGTGCCACATCCAGCTTTTTGGTCCTCAGTGACCCAGTGCCCGTGGGAAGGTATTCATGGTGGGCATGCTTTGTGCTCCTGGATCGCAATGAACTCAAATATCTTTCCATTTTTCATATGTCCAACAGCTTCTTGTGTTTTCTTTGGGGTCGTCCTGGGCAGGCACATTGCAGGGGCTCCATTTCTGGGCCTCTCGGTTCCACACAGTTATTATTTGCTGTATAACATGAATCTCCACGTCTTGTGCGGTCTGTACATGTCCTCGTCTGGCACCCACTGTCCCTCTGCACAGCTGCCCCATGTCCTCGCCATCCTGGTTCTCTCCAGGGGCTCCTTTAGCACGGCCCACCTGAGATGATGCTGTAGACTTACCCCTGCCTCCCCCAACCTGCTCAGGATGGCTCTGCAGACACAACCTGAGTCCGTAACCCTGTAGCAGACAGAATCCCGCGTCCCTGACAGAGATGTAGAAGCTCCAGCACCAACTAGGCCAGTGCGTGCAGGACACACGACATCTGGACCCTCTGTTCTCAGGCACCGGACATCAGGCTGGCTCCAGGCTGCAGCCTGGAGGGACCTGCTGTCTCATGGGAGCACACCCAGTGACAGCACCTCTATCTCCAGAGGGTGTGTGAGGCTTCAAGTGCCCACCTGAACTTTCCTGCTGGATGATGCTAAGGCAGTGGCATTTCACCTCATTTGGGGGCACAGGATGAGGGAGACCCCTGACTGCAGGCACTGTGCAGAGCTGGGGGGCTGCTCCAACCCAGATGGGGCACGAGGAACGCTCCCATGGAGATCACACAGGAGGGGTCCAGATCCTGACTCTGCCTGTTCTGTTACTTGGCACCAGCCACTGTCCCGGGCACTGGGTACAGAGGAGGCCCTCTAAGTGTGGGGCAGCTGGTCCAAAGAGGGTCTGTATGGAGAACCACATGCTGTGTCTGCTTGGATGGCAGTTTATAAGGTGAGTCTCCTAACAGACACTGAAGGTCGTCCTCTGGGGAGGACTTTGAAGCCTGGGCTTTCTTCTGGCATCAAAGCCGTGGAGCTGTGCGAAGGGCTGTTTGCCCCCTTGCCTCTCATCTCTGCAGCCTTCTCTCTCCCCAAACCAGGCCACTGTGGGGGTGGGGGGTGGGGGTGCACTGCCTCCATGGCCCCCAGACCAGCCGGAGTGGGCTTCCGGACACAGACTCTGTGGCCCGGGAGGGCCACGCCTGTGCAGCGTGAGCTCTAGGCCAGCTCTCCCGGAAAGCGTGCGGGGTGGGCAGCAGGGTGGGCAGAGGGCCCCGGGCGCTGCACCCTCAGTCCTCCTAACCCCCTTCTCCACTCCAGGCGGGCTCTGGCTGCTCTGACTGTGGCCAGATGGGCATGTGGAGGGGCCTTGTCAGCACCACGCAGTTTAGAGCCCTTTCATCCCCCTGACAGCAGCTCACTGCTGGTGCTCAGCACAGCTCAGGAGCCCCGAGACCTGGCTGGCCTGGTGGAGGCTTGGAAGGCCCTCCGCCAGGCCCTGTGGCCTTGGGTCTTGGCGGGGGCAGCCGCACCCTCTGGAGGCCGCCTCTCCCGTGGAGCCCGGGCCTGCTCGTTTGACCTCTAGGCACAGCCTGTGGGGCCCGGTGGGGCAGCCAGAGCTACAGAGATGAACCCCGTCGGTGCGGACGGGCCCTCTGCCAGAGCCTCAGGCAAACCGGCCCAGTCACTGACCCAAGGCCCCCGTGAGGAGCCCTCTAGCCTGGCGAAAGCCCCTGCTGCCCTCAGTGGGCGGGAAGCAGCCTCGGTCCTGGGGGCTTCTGCCCACTCCCAGCCCCTGCTCAGTCTGGCCGCCTGGGCTGGGCTAGCGGCACCTCCCGCCGAGGCCACCCCCACCCCTCCACCCCCCAGGGAAGAAAGCCGTGCTCAGCCCCTCCCCCATGGCGATGCCTGCCCGGCATTTATCGCCAGGAGCCCACCCCACAGGGGCCACCTCCTGCCGTGACCGCCCACCCCACGGCTGTCCCACGCGGCTCTCTGGGGCCCTGTCCCCTCCAGGAGAAAATGCTACGGGCATGGGGGAGGGCTGCTGAGAACGGCCGAGGGACCCCCTGCCGCCAAGGCCCAGCCCCGCGCAGGGACCTGCGGGCGGGGGGGCGTCCCCACCCGCGACCGTCTGCGGAGACGGTGGGGTCCCCCCACGGGGCCGGGACTCACCTCGTCCTCGGTCACGGTGGGCAGCGGCTCAAAGTCGTAGAAGTCCAGGTCCTTGCCGTCCTCCTGATCAAAATTCCCCGAGGTCGGGTCCATGGCCTGCATCCTGCCAACGCGCCGGCGCGCCTCGGCCACCCCGGGCCTCCGCGCGCGGGGCGGGGGGCGCTCCGTCGTCCGCGTTCCGCGCCGGGTCTCGCCGCTCCGGGTCTCGCCCTGCGCCTCGGGCCGGCGGGGTCTGCTCGGCGCCGGGTCCGCTCCGCGCGCCTGCCGCTCCGGCTACGCGCGCCCGGCCGCCATGGCAACGCGCCCCGCGCCGCCCCCGGGCCCCGCCCGCCCCGCCTCCGCGCGCAGCCCGTTCCTGCCGCAGTGCCGCCCGGGCGGGGGCCGGGCACGCGGGGAGGCCGCAGGGGTCCCGGCTCGCGCGAGGCCGCGCCCACTGGGGCGGGCGCTCTGGTGCCTGGGGCCCCGCGGGCGCTCTCGGGGGCTGCGCCCCTCGGGGACTTCGGCCGCTTTCTGGGGGTGCCCCGGGCCGGCGGCCAGGGCGCGGCTGGCACCGTTTGGGGCGGGGCCGTATTCTGAGCGCCCACTTGGGCGCACGGAGGGTTCAGGGCCGCGGGCCACTCCTAGTGTCGTTGACACCCCCACCGCCCCGCCCTGGCGTCCCAGTATGCTCGCTCCGTCCAGGGCAGGGCTGTGCCGAGCGGCTGGGGTCGGCCCGCCTCCTGGCGTCAGTGAGGGTCTCAGGACGCCACGTAGGGACCAACGATTACAGCTTCTCCCCCACCCAGCCGGCCAGCCCTCCCACAGGCTTGGGAGGGAAGTCCAAGGGCCAGACGGGCCCCCACGTCTGCCTGGCAGCCGTGCTGTGGTGACTAACCCCCTCACTGCCCCATTGGGGTCCTGCATGCCCCAAGCTGGGCACAGAGCTGGACAGCGCCCTCTCTCCTTCCTGGGAGGGTGGACGCCCTGTCCCCCCCCGGGTGGACTTGGGTGCCCCTCTAGCTGAGCGTGAGTAAGGGTGGGACAGCGGCGGCCAGGCTGCCTGCCTCCACATGCCCAGCCTGGTCCCAGCAGCCTGGCCTGGCCAGGGCACGGTAGGATCAGTGATGCTCGTGCGAGTGGCACAGGGCTGGTGGCAGGCCCAACAAAGTCTGGGCGCCAGTGGGAGGGGCACTGATTCCCGACCTTCAGAGCTTGGTCAGGTCATGGCGGCCCCAGCCCCCGGGGCACCCCTCTCACAGGGGTGACGGCGAGGCCTTGGGCTGGCGGCCAGGGTGACTGATTCCCTGTGCTGGGTGCTGACCTTTGAGTCTGCCCCAGTGAACAGACGCAGGAGTTGGGTGCAGCCCCCTGGTTCCTGGGCTGCCTGGTGGCTCAGAGCAGCAGCCAGGTGGTGGGTGGGGTGGAGGCCGCGGAGGTGGAGAAAAGGCATGTCACAGATGAGTGACATGGCCAGGCACCCCTGAGCTCTCTGTGGCCACCACACAGGGTCTCAGAAGGAGCGGCTGATGGCAGGCAGGCCCTGCGCCAGGACAGCGGGTCCGCGGAGCTGAGCATGCTGGCTGCAGGATGGGACTGCTGCCCTTCTCCCTAGGGCCAGTGGGCCTGGGTGTGGCCTTGATGCCCCCTCACCTAAGCCAGCCTGAGCACCCTTTGGGGGGCTTCAGCTGATGTGGTCACAAAGGGAGTGCTTTGAACCCTTTGTCATCTGGTTCTTGGATCACTTTGCCACTGGCCATTGGCCCAGGGTTTGGGGGTGAGGATTTAGGCATACTGGGCGGGCCAGAGACGACCCCGTGACCAAGGGAGCAGGTGCGTCATGGGGGTCCCAGATCTAAGGATGCGGCATCTGCTTTGGGCAAAGGTGCATCCCGTCTGGTAAACAGGCAGCTGGCGGCCGAGTCAGCTGTGGCTGGTGCCACGGGCATTTCCACATCTGTGGTGCAGCACACCTGCTGCTGTGTGAACCGGACTGGCTGCAGGAGCAGCAGGGGGTTGCCCGGGAGCCCCACTGCCGCCTGCTTTAGCTGAAAATTTGTGGTTGCCGGCCTTCCTTGTCCAGCGGAGCGACGCAGACCCGCTTCGGCTCATCTTGCTCGTCCTGCGGTGACGGTTGCGGGGGACGGTCCGCCCTGCATTCTGGTGCCTCAGACGTGGTTGGTGCTGTTCATGCTGCGGGTGAGGGTGTGCATCTGGAGGTCAGAGCAAGTCTAGATCAGGCATGCCACGTCTTCCCGGAGCTGGTGAGACCACGCAAGTGCGTGGCAGAAACCACGCAGGCCCTGGGTGTCTACTCGAAGTCATTTCCAAGCTCAGGTCCAAACGGGGCCACAGCCCTCACAAAGCTCTGGTCTCCATGCCCGCCTCTCCCTTCCATCCCAAGTGCCCTGCCAACACGCCTTTTCCTGAGTACTCTCAGGCGACGTCAGAGCCCTGCAGGGGCTTTGTGGCGCACGGTCAGCTCCACCGTCCCAGGCGAGGACTAGGGGTTCTCCTCGCTGGCCTGCTCACTGTCTGCCCACCCTTGTTTCCTGCGTGGCCAGGCCTCCCACATCACTGCTTCTGGGGCACTGCACTTCCTGGCCTGAGCCGCCCGCCCTGGTCGGCGCCCCTGCCCACACTTCCTCCTGCACAGCCTGCTCCATGCCGGCCTCAAGGACTTGGACACATGCCTTCACACTCGGACACTGTCTGGACTCTGTCTTTTTTTCTGAGCCCCCTCTCGACCGGCTGGGGGCTTCCTCCTGTCCTAGAGCAGTAGGTGCTCAGCCTGACCGTGCTGCATGCCGACGCAAATGGGGCCAGGGCATCACAGCCGTGCCTCTCGTTTCCCCTAAATGAAGATAGAAAATTTTGCTTAAATGAGGCGTCAAACCACTTGCTCAGTCTGAAGTTGACACCTAAAAAATATGCATATATATATATATAAATAATTGCAAGAAATGTAATTTCTGGTGTAGTGTAAATATTGACATTTTGAAATAAAGCTGTTACTCACTCTTGCAAATGTACCCAATAAGGAAAAAACTGAAGCAGTGAGACACGCGTTCTGAATTGTAAGAATCTTCACAGCCGTGTCCTTTAGACTCATCGCAGTCACCTGATTTTGGCCAGAATTTTATTCAGCTGTTGTATTCTTATGCTTAAAGGTTTCTGTACATCCCCCACCACACTCCTTTCAACAAACACGCATGTAACTTTTAATACATTGAATATTTAATAAAATTTTAACCTTTTTTAAATTTTAGGGTCTTACTTTATAATATGAAGCCATTTGGCAAAAAAGTGATCATGTTTCCCCTAGAGGTGCAAATACAACAAGGACGGTGCCGCCGTCCTGCTTCTGCTGGGTGCTGGGGCTGTGTGTCACCTGGTGTCACTCTGGTGCTGCTCTGTGGTGTCACTGTTTCTGCACACTCTGGCCTGTCCCGTCCTGCTGGGCTCTCCCTGTAGGGGCACTGGGGCCTGGAGAGTAGGTGCCCTATACCCCTGTAATCTGTTGGCAGAGGCTGGCACTTGGGTCCCATTTCCACCCTTAGAACCAGCGTCTCCCTTCGCACCACCTGCTGGGGGTCCTGCTCAGGCTCCTTTCGCATCCAGCCTCTGACCTGCCTCTGATGTCTGTGCCCAGGCCCCTGAGCGCTTCCTCTCTGTGGAAATAGCATGACTTCTGTGGTTCCCTCGGGGTCCAGCAGGCCCACTTCCTTTTACTCAAGGACACTGCGTCTGTCTGCCACCACCTTCTTGTTGAAATCCGGCATGAGTACAGCTGAGTTACAGACTTGGGGCATAAGCGAACTCACCTTTCCTGAGAGGGTGCCGCTCGGGAGCCCTCGGGTTGGGACCTCCTGCATGTGCTGCCAGTGTGGTGGGCGGGCGCCGGGTCCTCGCCTGCGTTTATCTGCCTTCCCTGCCACGCGCTGCATTCTGGCCCTTCAGCATGAGCTCCTGGCTTGGCCACAGTCCCTAACGCTGGCTGTGGAGCTCACTGCCTGCCCCATTAGTGGTCCTGGCTGCCTCTGTGAACAGGCAGGTGGCTCTTGGCATGGAGCTCAGAGCCAGGTGCAGAGGCTGGGGTCTGGAACTGTGGAGCCCCCTGCTCAGAACCCAGTGACAGCGATCAGTCCGCCTCCTGGGGGGACACAGATAAAACTGTCAGCAGGTGGGGGAGCTGGCTCCACGCAAGTGGGTGTCATGGTTCCTGCAGGGCAGACACAGGGCACCAAGGAAGGTCCGTTGGGATCCTGACTGTAGGGTGTGAATCATCATGTCTGTGGAGGGGAGCAGAAGCGGGGGGCGGCCCTTGGACTTAAGTGGGGTCAGCAGGTGACAGTCCTCTCAGGCCCTCCTTCCAGTCACGACCCTGGAGGGCAGTCGCTGTCCTGTGTTTACAGAAATGATTGCTCTGTTTTTTTTTCTTTAAAAATATATTGTTGGGTCTGTATTTACAAGTGGGATCGCTGGGCTGGATTCACGCACAAGTCACACCCCCACATCCTGCACAGATGCCTAGCTCAGCAGCCTCCGCTGTGGGGGACACTTTCCCCTCAGCTTTGCCTTTTGGATGGTCTCCCATCAAGCAAGCACGTTTGATGGCTTGCAGCTCTGTTCCCCCTGGTGGGTCACGTCGGCGAGGGACAGTGCCGCTCTGTCAATCACTGCCCACGTCCATGACGAGGCTTGTTCCCCTCTCCACTTTTCTCTTTCAAGAATGGCTCAGCTGTTCTTGGCCCTTTGTATTTTCATGCACACTTTAGAATCCACTTGCTGTGTGTCTTACACATCTAGTTGGGATCTGATTGGGATGACATGGATCTACACACCCACAAATCTTTGTAATAATGAGTCTTCTAATCCACAAAATGTGTATCTTTCCCATATTCAGGTCCTCCCGCTGTTCTCTCAGTAATGTTTTGCAGTTTCCTGTGAGGATGTCTTGTGTATCTTTTATTATATTTATCGTGAACATTTGTATTTTATGGTGCTATTGTAAATTGTGTCTTTGTAAAAGTTCTGCTCTCTGTTTTATGCTGATCTATGGGAATAACATAGGTTTTGTCAAAGGACCTTGTATCCGGGAACTTTGCTAAGACGTGGTGCTCCGTGCTTCCCGCCCGTACACGGCTTGCTCTGGCTTCCCGCTCCAGCAGTTGCGCTGCCCGAGTCACAGCCGCTTGGCGGCTCCGTTCTGTTCTGCTTTTCCTCGCTGCCCGCAGGACCCCCAGGGCCATGTGGAATAGAAGCAGTGACCACGGTCTTCTTAGTTGGAT